GGAGAGGAGATCCGGGCACGTGTGCTAACTCTTTCTCTGCTGGTTCACTCCCTTCATGTCCATAACAGCCAGGGCTGGGACAGGCTGACGCCAAGAGCCAAGAACGCCACCCTGGTCTCCCACGTGGGTGGCGGGGGCCTGAGTGCTTGGGCATCCTCTGCTGCCTTCCCAGAGCCATCAGCAGGGAGCTGGACGGAAGCGGAGTAGCCGGGACCCGCAGCAGTGCTGGGATACGGGACGCAGGCGCCTCGACACAGAGGGTGGCCTGCAGCTCCACTTCTCCGACCGCCCAGGACGAGGAACACGCCCATGCGAAGCTCTGCACCCAGATGCTGGTCCCTGCTTTGTTGGAGTTGACTCACAACTTCACCCCAGTGCCGGCAGACCGTGAGCCGGTGACGGGGGCGGGCCCGTCCAGTCAGAGCTCCCTGGCAACCAAGGGCGAACCCTGGCTTCGTGCAGCTCCACGGAGGAACCCCACAGATGCAGCACCGCGCTGAAAGCCGCACACAGGGGGCCCCGAGTCCTGCGCCGGCAGGGCACGCCTGCCCGCCCTTGCTGAACTGACGCTGACAATGGGTGCATTCTCCTCCCGTGTAAACCGCACCCGTCCCCAGAAGCCCGCGCGCTTCTCTCGAGCACGCTCGCCCGTCCCCACAGAACTGGCCTAAATGCTAGTTGAGAAGTTCCTCATGAGCGGGGACACGGACACCGAGCCCGGGCCCCCGCTGCGAGTCGGGGCCGAGCCCCTGCACGGGAGACCTCACGCTGCGGGACGAGAAGCACCGGGACCTCTCTGGGCCAGAGCTGCCACGAGCCAGGAGCGAGGCGTCTTGCTCCTGCCCTCTCAGACACCAGGCTGCTTCACCTCACCCACCTGTCTGCCTGCCTCAGGCCCCGAGCATCTGCCGCACAGACATGGGTATTTTTACGTCACTCATGCGTCCTAGTATCTGTAGTCACAAAGGACATTTGCAATTGATTTGATAATAACGATAGCCTACTAGGGTTTAATTTTTTTTTTAAAGATTACTTTATTTATTTGAAAGACAGAGTTACAGAGAGAGGTAGAGACCGAGAGAGAGGCCTTCCACCCACTGGTTCACTCCCTAGATGGCCACAACAGCCAGAGCTGCGCCGATCCAAAGCCAGGAACCAGGAGCTTCCCCCGGGTCTCCCATGCAGGTGCAGGGGCCCAAGGGCTTGGGCCATCTTCCACTGCTATCCCAGGCCACAGCAGAGAGCTGGATCGGAAGAGAAGCAGCCAGGACTCGAACCAGTGCCCATATGGGATGGCAGCACTTCAGGCCAGGGTGTTAACCAGCTGCACCACAGCACCAAATCCTTTTTTTTTTTTTTTTTTTTTTTTTTTAATTTGAGACACAGAGCTCCCACCTGCTGGCTCACTTCCCAAATGCTCACAACGGCCAGGGCTGGACTGGGGACAGAGCTGCTGGGAACACACCCAGGTCTTCCACGTGGGCGTGGGCGGCAGGAACCCTACTACGTGAGCCACCCTCACTGCCTCCCAGTCTGCGTTAGCGGGGAGACAGGCAGAAGCCACAGCCAGGCACCGACCCAGTGCTCCGACGTGGGACGCAGGCATCCTAACCCCTTGGCTAACGAGCTCTTCAAAAGGCAGGCACCGGGGCCCTGGGGACACCCACACCCCACATCAGAGTGCCGGCTTCAAGCCCCGACTACTATTTCCTGCCAGCTTCCTGTAAGCGTGCGCCGTGGGAAGCAGTGGATGGTGGCTCAAGCACTTCCGTTCCTGCCACGCACGGGGAGACGGGATAGAGTTCCCAGCTCTTGACTTTGCCTGGCGTTGCTGGCATTTGGGGGTGAAGCAGCAGAGGGAAGATTCTTTCTGTCTCTCCCTCTCTGTCACTCTGCCTTTCAAATAAATAAATATTTCTTAAAGGCAAAAATAAATCAGTGTCCTGTCCTAAAGGCTTTGTACATATTAACTTGTGTAACCCTCACACTGACTGTGGTGAAAAGTGGGGCAAACCAACGGCCCCACCTGCCCACTCTGCATACCAGCTACCGCTCAGAGCAGGCGTCCGGACCCCAGCAGCTGGCCGGACAGCCGGCCTCCTCAGTCGAAACTCACGCAGAACCGGCGCTTCCACGCCCGCGCGTCCTCTTGCGGCCTTCATGTCTGAGAGCCGGCTTCCCTGTGTCCACAAACGGAGCCCTTGAGCTCTGCATCGTTGCATGACTTCCTTCACATGTCCAGTGTTTCAAGTTCTGTTTATTTTGCCACTGGCAGAGAGATCCAGGGTTTCAAAGACGACACGCGGCGAGCGAGCCACCGCAGTGCCCTTGGCTGCAGTCCACAGAGATCTGGGAAGTTCCTGTTACCAGTGCCAACATCCCCTCTGCCCGCCGCGGCGCGGCCCAGCCCTGCCGCTACGCTGGGGCTGCATGAAAACCCCTCTGTAAGGCCGGCTTCACCGGGGCCGCTGGAGCCGTGTCCGCTTGCTTCCGAAACTGCTTCGTGTGTGCAGCTGGGCCTGCAACTGAACCCGACAGTCTATCCAGCCAGTCAGGGACGGTCACGTCGACGGGACAGAATGCTGGTTCCCCACAGTCTATCCAGTCAGTCAGGGACGGTCACGTCGACGGGACAGAATGCTGGTTCCCACAGTCTATCCAGTCAGTCAGGGACGGTCACGTCGACGGGACAGAATGCTGGTTTATGTTGCAAATGAAAACCCAGCCCACACATGGCCTCGGAAGTGAATTAACTGCCGTGGGGAGGTGAGGGCACACCTGCTCAGACCGTCCCCTCCCCCCGGCCTCCAGGCGTTCACACACCGCAAGGCGGGGGAACCGGCCCCACGCTCCAGCCAGACATCAGATTCTCAGAGCTTCTAAGGTCCTGCCGTCCTCAGACGTGTAGCATGACGCACGTGTAAGTTACGTCAACCCAGAGAAATCACACTTCTTCAGAGGAAAGTAACAACAAATAACAAGAAAATCCAGGAAGAACCCACCTGGAGCTTTACTGCCAGATACACCAGGCCCTGCCTGTCCAGCCCTGCCACCCAGCCCACGTCAGCTCTCGCCCATAGATCCGCCTTCGCCCGGTGGCCACGGACACTCGCCAAGAGTCCCGGCCCAGGGCTGGCACTGTGGGGCAGCAGGTTAAACACCCCTTCAACACACCAGTTCCAGTCCCAGCTGCTCCACTTCTGATCCAGGCCCCTGCTAATGCTCCTGGTGAGGCCTGGGCCACTGCCACTCCTGTGCAAGACCCAGACGGGGTTCCTGGCCCCAGCCTGGCCCGGGCCTGGCCATGGCAGCCATTTGGGGAGTGCAGCAGTGGACGGACGATCTTGCTGTCTCTCTCCCTCCGTCCCTCTGCCTTTCAGATAAGTAAAGGAATCGCAGCACAGCCCCTCTCCACTCAGCCCTGCGACCGCTGCAGTCCTGGGACCCCCACTGCCAGCCCTTCAGTGGCCCATGACCCGCAGCTCCTCCACGGCGCCCCTGGTCCCACCACACCCACTGAGCAGACCCCAAGGCCAGGCGTCCGCAGGACCTCTGCAGGACAGCTCACGCCTCACAGTCCCTCTCATCTCTGCCCAGAGCTCCTTTCTGGTGTGGCCGCCCCTAACCGCCCCACACACAGCAGCTCCAGGCCCCCAAGCTGCACCCCCCATGCGCCGTACCTGTTCCTTCCCCAGATACGAGCCAGCCGCTGGTTCAGCTGCCCGCATCCCATCGACCCACACTGAACACAAACTCCACGAGGGGGGTCTCACCCTGCCCGTCACGGCTGCATCCTCAGAGTGCCTTGCATACAGCAGGCACTCAATAAAGACGGGTTACTCTAAAGCCAGAGCGACACTGTCAGCCCCGACTTCCTGAGACTGCAAGGGGTGACGGGTGGAGAGGGCCCCCTCCCCCTGCGTGTTTACAAACCCCTTCACACAGAGGTAAAAGGAACACCGACGGCCAAAGAAAACACGGAAACTGAGAGACGCGACCAGAGGCAGGCGACAGGACGCAGGCAATGACGAAGACGGGGACATCGGACAAGTCGCTCACTGCTGAGGAGAAAAGCCAGCGCAGAGCAGAGCCGCAGCCTGTCCCAGGCTGTCCTTTGTGTCACTGTCACACACGCACCTCCAACGGGGTCACTATGCCCCAGCTCCCACACTCAGCCCGTCCACCCTTCCCTCTAATTCTCTTTAAAAAACTTATTTTCCTTGTATTTGAAAGGCAAGGAGACACAGAGACATCTTTCACTCACTGGGTCACTCCCCAGATGCCAAGAGCTGGGGCTGGGCCAGGCGAAGTCAGGCGCCTGGAACTCCCTCTGGGTCTCTCACTCAAGTATGTGGACCTGCTGCCTCCCGGGGTACAGGGTGCACACCAGCAGGAAGCGGGAGTGGAAGCGGAGCAGCCAGACTCAAACCAGGCACCCGAACACGGGATGCCAGATCGCAAGCCGTAACTTAACAGCCGGACTAAGCACCCGCCTGGCTTCTCCCTGGTCCTTCTGAGCCTGTGGGAGTTGACCCCGAGGCTGTGGCCTGCCTACTCCCTCAGGGCATCACTGCTGACCATCCCCGCTGCAGGAGATGTGTGGGCTCCCTCCCCACACCTTCTGCACACGGCACCCACATGCAGAGGCTGCTCCCAGCTGGGCCAAATCGTGCGCCCCGATTATTTTTTCTTCCCCAGAACTAGCAGCACCCCACCTCCACTGCCGTACGCTCTCCCCACTTCTCTCGACAGCCCCCAGCCTGCCCCCTCTCCTCTCCGGAGACGTCCCTGTGCATCGGAGTCCTGCTAACTTCGTCTTCTCTATAAAAGGTCTCCTGTGGGAGCCTTCGGACGGGCTCAGGCCAGCAACTGCCCGGTGCGAGGCCACCCCTGGCAGCCGCCCCGCCTCCCCAGCCTCCCCCTCCCCAACTCCGTGGGTTCCTCTCCCCGGGTCTATCTGGAGTCGGCACTCACTTGGGGAGCACGCACCTGCCACTCACCTCCTGGAACTACCTGTGAGGCAAGTTTCGGGGGCCTCTGGGAAGGTCCTCGCCGGAACACACAGTTCAAGGTTGAACACGCTGCTTCAGGATTCTGACAGCAAGGACCCGCCCCCGGGGGGCTGGGGAGGGGTCCACGGCCCTGCTTCTTGGCCTGTGGTGATCTGTTTCCACTTTTCCTAGAAGCCTCCACCACCTCCTTCGTCCCGGAGTTCTGAAACGCCCCAACAGCGGGCCGCAGGTGCCTCTCCCCAGCCGGCCTCAGACACACTCTCCAGTAAGTCTGGCGTCCCCAACCCTTGCCAAGCGTCTCTGGGAAGCTCCGCCTCCCTCCCGATCCAGCCTCCGCAGCAGCCAAACCCAGAGGCCAAGGGAGCAGGGAGGGAAGGGAGCCCACGCTCCCGGTGCACGCCTGCAACCCGGGCAGTCTCCTGGGGCTGATCTCGGCCCGTGCCCTCTCTGCTGGCTACACCTCTTACCACTGACTGCTGACCTGCTCGGACACTGAACTTTTCTTCTTTTTGGTCTCATTTTCTGTCCTACTTCCTAAGAGTTACTCAACTCTGACCTGCGAGTTTCCGTTTATCTGGTTACTTGAAAGGCAGGGAGAGACAGAGCACTCTTCCATCCCCAGATGTCCAGGCTGGGCCAAGCTCTATCTGGGTCTCCCACAGTGGGTTGGAGGAACCCAATCCTTGGGCCATCATCTGCTGCTTCCCCAGGCACCTCAGCAGGGCCTGGGTCAGAAGCAGCGAGCCAGGCCTGCCGCGTCTCTCCCGTTCGGGATGCTGGTGTCGCGGGCGGCAGCCCGACCTGCTGTGCCACAATGCCAACCACAAGTTATTTTCTGTGGGTTTTTGTTTTTTTTAAATTTTTTTTTTTTTTTTGACAGGCAGGGTAGACAGTGAGTGAGTGAGAGAGAGAGAGAGAGAGAGAGAGAGAAAGAAAGGTCTTCCTTTGCCGTTGGTTCACCCTCCAATGGCTGCCGCGGCCAGCACACCGTGCTGATCCGAAGGTAGGAGCCAGGTGCTTTTCCTGGTCTCCCATGGGGTGCAGGGCCCAAGCACTTGGGCCATCCTCCACTGCCTTCCCGGGCCACAGCAGAGGGCTGGCCTGGAAGAGGGGCAACCGGGACAGAATCCGGCGCCCTGACCGGGACTAGAACCCGGTGTGCTGGTGCCACAGGCGGAGGATTAGCCTAGTGAGCTGTGGCGCCGGCCTGTTTTTTTGTTTTGTGTTGTTTTGTTTTTTTAATATACAAGAATTCTCTTCTTGGAGTTCCTTTTTTTTTTTTTTTTTTTTTTTTTTTTTTTGATTTATTTATTTTTGAAAGTCAGTTCTGGAGGGGAAAAGAGAGAGAGATCTTCCACCTACTGGTTCACTCCCCAGATAGCCACAACAGCCAATGCCAGGCCAGGCTGAAGCCAAGAGTTACGTCTGGACTTCCCACGTGTGTGGCAGTGGTCTAAACACTTACACCATCTTCCCCTGCATTTCCCAGGCCGTTAGCAAGGAGCGGGATCGGAAGTGGAGCAGCCGGGACTCGAGCCAGCGCCCGCACGGGATGCCGGCACCATAGGTGCCACCGTTACCTGCCAAGTCACAGCGCCAGCCATTCTTCCGGGATTTCTGAATGTCTTACGGGCTTCCTGCTCCTGTCCCGGTTCCCCGTACTCTCCCCCGGCTGCACGTACATGCTACTGACAGGGGGCTTTCTTCCTGCTGCCTCAGGTGCGTGTCCTGGCCGCCATCTGGATCTGAGGTTTTCCCTCCATGTCCTCGTTACGGGTTCATACTTAAGGGATGGGGGATTTTTAAAGGTTGGATGCTTTGAACACTGGGAGGGAGCTATTAATTATGAACTTCGTTAGTGAATAATCCCGCTAATGGGGCTCACTGGGGACCCCAATGCCATTATTCTGGATCTCTCACGGCCTCGCCCAGCCTCGTGCCTGGAGCGCAGGGCAGTCTAGGCCGAGTGGCTCGTCCGGGCTCCCTGGCCTGCTCCACGGCACACCCGGGCCTGCTCTCCCTCAGCGGGATCTGTCTCCCGTTCTCTGAAGCAGGGCAAACTTCTAAAGCCACAGAAAACACATCCTTGGCTTCCAGCAGGAAGTCTGAAGTCAGTGTCAGCTGTGTGCAGACACATCTGTGGGCTCCGGCTGGGGCGCCACAGACCCGCGAGGTGGGTGTGGCGTTAACAGCCACTTTCCCAGGAGAACTTGCTAACACGTAAGCTGTCTCAGAATGAGAGGCGAGCCCCACGTGCTTCTGCGCCCCTCCCACAGAGGACCACGCAGGGAGGACAGCAGGCTGCCCCAGGCCCCTCTGCACCCTGAGACACTGCCCCAGGCCCCTCTGCACCCCAAGACGCTGCCCCCAGACCTCTCTGCACCCCACCCTCTCCATGAGGCTGCCCCAGGCCTCTCTGCACCCCACCCTCTCCACCAAGCTGCCCCAGGCCTCTCTGCACCCCACCCTCTCCACCAAGCTGCCCCCAGGCCTCTCTGCACCCCAAGATGCTGCCCAAGGCCCCTCTGCACCCCAGATGCTGCCCCCAGGCCCCTCTGTACCCCAAGACACTGCCCCCAGGCCTCTCTGCACCCCACCCTCTCCACCATGAAGCTGCCCCAGGCCTCTCTGCACCCCAAGATGCTGCCCCCAGGCCTCTCTGCACCCCAGACGCTGCCCCAGGCCCCTCTGCACCCCACCCTCCCCACCAAGCTGCCCCAGGCCTCTCTGCACCCCGCCCTCTCCCCCTGATGCTGCCCCCAGGCCTCTCTGCACCCCGCCCTCTCCACCGTGCTGCCCAGGATTCCATCCTGGGACACAGGCTCGCTCTTCCACACTAGCCCCAGGCTCCTGCAGGACAGCCACAGACAGCAGTCCTGTGGGTATCCATCCGTGTCTCTCCCCCACCCTGCCGGCACTGCCCGCCACAGGCACCCACACCAGGGATCTCACCACCCAGTGGACTCTCCGCCCCTGCCCTCCTACAACACTGCCCATCTTCCCCAGCCCCGAGACCGCCTGCCCTACACACAGATCTTACCAAACCCCAGCCCACCCAAGGGACAGCAGCCAGGCATCCCAGCCTGGCACGCAAGGCCCCTCACGGTCAGAATCCGTCGTCCTGGCCTCAGTTCCCAGTCCAGTCCTCAACCCCCCGCCGCCCACCACCCACTGCCCACCACCCACTGCCCACCACCCACTGCCCACCGCCCGCCACCAGAAGGAACAGAGCAGCTCCCGGCTCCCACACCGTGCACACCCAGGCTCCCACACTGCACACCCCGGCTCCCACACTACACACCCCACTCCCACACTGCACACCCCACTCCCACACTGCACACCCCGGCTCCCACACTGCACACCCCGGCTCCCACACTGCACACCCCACTCCCACACTGCACACCCCGGCTCCCACACTGCAAACCCCACTCCCACACTGCACACCCCACTCCCACACTGCACACCCCGGCTCCCACACTGCAAACCCCACTCCCACACTACACACCCCGGCTCCCACACTGCACACCCCACTCCCACACTGCACACCCCACTCCCACACTGCACACCCCGGCTCCCACACTGCACACCCCACTCCCACACTACACACCCCGGCTCCCACACTGCACACCCCACTCCCACACTGCACACCCCACTCCCACACCGTGCACACCCCACTCCCACACTGCACGCCCCACTCCCACACCGTGCACACCCCACTCCCACACTGCACACCCCACTCCCACACCGTGCACACCCCACTCCCACACTGCACACCCCACTCCCACACTATGTGCACCCCACTCCCACACTACACACCCCACTCCCACACTACACACCCCACTCCCACACTGCACACCCCGGCTCCCATACTGCACACCCCACTCCCACACTATGTACACCCCACTCCCACACTACACACCCCCCCACTACACACCCACTCCACACTACACCCCACTCCCACACTGCACACCCCGGCTCCCACACTGCACACCCCGGCTCCCACACTGCACACCCCACTCCCACACTATGTACACCCCACTCCCACACTACACACCCCACTCCCACACTGCACACCCCACTCCCACACTGCACACCCCACTCCCACACCATGTGCACCCCACTCCCACACTGCACACCCCACTCCCACACCATGTGCACCCCCACTCCCACACTGCACACCCCGGCTCCCACAGTGCACACCCCGGCTCCCACACTGCACACCCCACTCCCACACTACACACCCCGGCTCCCACACTGCACACCCCGGCTCCCACAGTGCACACCCCGGCTCCCACACTGCACACCCCGGCTCCCACAGTGCACACCCCACTCCCACACTGCACACCCCACTCCCACACCATGTGCACCCCCACTCCCACACTGCACACCCCACTCCCACACCATGTGCACCCCCACTCCCACACTGCACACCCCGGCTCCCACAGTGCACACCCCGGCTCCCACACTGCACACCCCGGCTCCCACAGTGCACACCCCGGCTCTCACACTGTACACCCCACTCCCACACTGCACACCCCACTCCCACACTGCACACCCCACTCCCACACCGCACACCCCGGCTCTCACAGTGCACACCCCGGCTCCCACACCGCACACCCCGGCTCTCACAGTGCACACCCCGGCTCCCACACCGCACACCCGGCTCCCACACCATGTGCACCCCGGCTCCCACACCACGTGCACCCCGGCTCCCACACTGCACACCCCGGCTCCCACACTGCACACCCCGGCTCCCACAGTGCACACCCCGGCTCCCACACTGCACACCCCGGCTCCCACAGTGCACACCCCACTCCCACACTGCACACCCCACTCCCACACCATGTGCACCCCCACTCCCACACTGCACACCCCACTCCCACACCATGTGCACCCCCACTCCCACACTGCACACCCCGGCTCCCACAGTGCACACCCCGGCTCCCACACTGCACACTCCGGCTCCCGCGCCGTGCACACCCCACTCCCACACTGCACACCCCGGCTCCCACACTGCACACCCCGGCTCCCACACTGCACACTCCGGCTCCCGCGCCGTGCACACCCCGGCTCCCACACCGCACACCCCTTCCGCGGAGGCTCGCCTGAGCTTGACAGCCCGGGTCACACCGCACTACCGCCGGGCTGACCCGCGCTCCCAGGACACAGCCCACGTGCTGTCTCCTCCAGTGACTGCTGAAGGCGCAGGGGCACCGGGCAGCGGCCCAAGCCCCGAGCCCCACGGAGCGGCGGCCTCGCCCGACCGGGGCGTTCACGGGAAGGGCCGAGGGCGTCCGGCTGCGGGGGCAGCGCAGGGACCCACCCACGGCCAGGAACCGCCCGCACCCCGGGTCTTCTCACTCCCGCGGGCGTCGGTTATAAAGTAAATAATTCAATAATCAGGGGCACACTGCCGCTTGTTGTGCTCCGTGCCAGACGGAGCCTCCGCCCGAGCCCAGGGCTCGCCAGTGCTGCCGCGGTGGCCACGAGCCCAGCGGGGAGATTAAGCCCCACGCTGGCCACTGCCGCCCGCTCGTCCCCGCGCGCTGCAGGCGCCCGGCCCGGAGCGGTGCATCCTGCGGTCTCGGAGCTGTCGCCCACCTCCGTCCGCTCCGGGCGCCCGAGCGGCCCGGGAGCGGACCCGGCACGGTGCACAGAGCCCGGCGGCACCGCAGCGGGAGGCGCAGAGCCCCCCGGGACCGCGCACACGTCCCGCGTCCGCCCAGGCCCCCGAGCACCTGCAGGCGGCAGGGCCCAGAGAGGGCGCGCGCCGGGCCAAGGTCACACAGCGAGCCGGCGCCCACCCGCCCCGGCCCGGCTGCAGGGGATGGACCGGCGCCCCTCAGCCGGCCCGGGACCCCCCGCCCCGCCCCGCCGGCCCCGCAGCCCGGCCCGGCCCGGCCCGGCCCGGCGCCGAGCTCCGCAGGCCCGCCACGCCCGCGCCACCCCGCCCGCCCCTCACCTCGCGCCGGCCTGCGCCCCTCGCCTCACGCCAGCCGCCGCCGTAGCCCCCGCGACGCGCGGGCCCTCCCGAGGCAGCCCCGCCCCGCCCCTGGCGCCGGCGCCCGCCTCCCGCCTCCCGCCCCTCTTCTCGCGAGACTCGCGGGCGCCGGCGGGGCCACGGAGGCCGAGGGCGCCCGCCCTCCCCGCGCCTGCGCCCTGCCCACCCGGCCCGGCCCGGCCGGCTCGAGCCAGTGCCTTGTGGCGTCGTATTTACGGCCAGAGGCCGGCCACGCCCCCGGCCCCTGCCCCGGCAGCCCCGCCCCTGCCCCAGCAGCCAATCCGTGTGCTGATCCCGCCCCTGGGGGCGGGCACGGCGCGGCCTGCGGGGTGCACACGCTGCGGGCCGAGGGCTGGGGCTGCGGCGCGCTCGGTGGCCTGGGGCGGCTGACCCGGCCCTCTGAGGCGGTCTCCAGCTTGGTGATCGGGAGCGCGACGCCCCCTGGCGGGCGCTGTGCCCGCCTAGCGACAGGACGTGGGCAGGACGCGCGCCGGCCGCTGGCCCAGCCCTGGCGCCGCCGGGAGCCCCAGCTCCGTCCTGATGGCCCGCGCGGGTGGCTGCGTCCCAGGTGCGCTAGCACGGAACTGGATCCAAAGCAGAGCCGCCGGGACTCGAACCCTCGCTCCCACGTGGGGTGCTGCAGCGAGGGCTTTTAACCCAGCTGCCACAGCGCCATCCCCGAAAATAAATAAAATTCTGAGCTTTCCCATGAGCTCCCCAGACCCAGCACCTGGCAGGGGCGGTAAAATTTGAATAAATGGAGATTCAGGGGCCCAGGAGCCAGGATCTCACACTCGCAAAGTCGCAGAGCCGTCGGCTGAGTAAGGGGAGGAGCTCAGCAGACCCACTGCCCTCTGGGAAGAGGGGATGGTGTCTCTCTGAAGGGGGCGGGACCACCCCGGGCTGTCGCTTTACAATGTTACTTGTATGTCAGTTCCTCTGTTTCAAGTCAAACGCGGGCTTCTTACCCGGCTACACTGCAGATACATTTTTACTGCCCCGTCCCAAGCAGGTACCTACAGGTGCCTCCTCCAGGATAAAGAAGGATAAAGACTGAGGAACTAACCAACCTGCCCAAGGCAGAGTCCAGACCAGAATCCAGATTTTGGGCTCCAAAGCCAGACTACCTTACAGTCCTGAGACTTCCCCCTGCTGGGAGGAGGGGGCCCGCCATGGTGACTCTCGCCACCCCTTTTCCCAGGCCCCCAGTGCACTCCCTGCCTCCAGGGCCCTGGGCCTCCCCAGGGCTGACCACAGCCCCGAGTGTTAGCCTGGGGTGTCTCAGCGTCATCTACAGGCCGAAACTATTTCCGTTTTGATTGCCAGAGTTGCAAAAGAGGAAAGATAGATAGAACTGTGGTTGGGGAGAGGCTGGCCAGGAAGCTGGGACACTCTGATGGCTCCGGCCCCGGGGGCATCCACAGGATAAGGGAAGAGAGGAGAGGGGGCAGGTATGGTGCGCAGTGGTTAAGCTGCTGCTTGTCAGAGTGCCTGGTTCGAGTCCTGGCTCTTCCACTTCCAATCCAGCTCCCTGCTAATGCGCATCCCGGGAGGCAGCCAGGACGGCTCAAGTACTTGGGCCCCTGCCATCCATGCGGGAGACCTGGATGGCGTACCTGGCTCCTGGCTTGGCCTGGCCCAATAAATAATAGTAATTTTTTTCTTTATTTTTTTGACAGGCAGAGTGGACAGTGAGAGACAGAGAGAGAGAGAAAGGTCTTCCTTTGCCGTTGGTTCACCCTCCAATGGCCGCCGCGGCCGGCGTGCTGCGGCCGGCACACCGCGCCGATCCGATGGCAGGAGCCAGGTGCTTCTCCTGGTCTCCCACGGGGTGCAGGGCCCAAGCACTTGGGCCATCCTCCACTGCACTCCCTGGCTACAGCAGAGAGCTGGACTGGAAGAGGGGCAACCGGGACAGAATCCGGCGCCCCAACCGGGACTAGAACCCGGGGTGCCGGCGCCGCTAGGTGGAGGATTAGCCTAGTGAGCCGCGGCACCAGCCCAGTAATTTTTTAAAAATAATAATTTAAAAAGAAGAGATTTGCACATTGAAAATCCAATTGACCTCTGCAGATGACAGGAAAACCCAAGCGAATGGGCAGAGGAACCGTCCTGGTGGATGGCGAGCTCACCCCTCCCTCCGGCCCGGGCTGGCCTTGCTGGGGCAGACATGCTGCCCGGCGGCGGTGTGCCCTGGGCCAAGCAGGCCACGCAGCCCTCTGAGCTGCAGTCCCCCGCCTGTATGGTGACCGTGAGAGAGGGGGCACCCAGGCACAAAGTGCTGGTGCCTGCCAGGGCTTGGGGGACAGTGACGGCGATGCTGCTGCCCCGGGCCCGGCAGGAAAGGTGCAGGACAAGGACCCATGGGAGAGAGACCAGGCAGGGGCAGGTGGGCGGCACAGGCAGTTTTGCGCGCCTGCCGGTGGAGGGTGGGAGGGAGAGGAGCCAGCTGCCAGTGCCTCTGTGACATTGGCTGGGACTTGTGACCTTGGTGTTGCAGTGTGGAGGTGGACACGCCAAAGCAATCCCATCTCCCAGGAGCCGGCTGGAACCCCCGGAAGAGCCAGGCTGAGGGGTCTTTAGGGGGCGCCTCCTCCCTCACCCATCAGCACAGTCCCGCCAAGCCCTCTGCCCCCTGCTTAGCCCTCCTGGCCACTGGAATGGCCAGAAGCAATCTGCTTATGTTTTTCTAACACATATTACAATAAATGTATAATTCTTTTCAAAAATTATTTATTTACTTGAAAGACAGAGTGACACAGAGAACGAGATCTCTCTATCCAATGGTTCACGCCCCCAGTGGCCCCAACCGTCAGGTCTGGGCCAGGCTGAAGCCAGGAGCCAGGAACTCCATCCAGGCTCCACAATGAGTGGTGGAGGCCCAAGGACTTCCATCGTCCTCCACTTTGCAGATGCATTAGCAGAGGGCTAGATCAGAAGTGGAGCAGCAGGGACCCGAGCTGGCGCTCTGGTAGGGGATGCCAGCGTCACAAGTCGGGGCTTAACCTACGCTGCTGCAACACGGCCCTGTTGATGTAGGACCCCTAAACTAAGCAGTCTGTCCATGAACCCCAGCTCTCAGTGGCAGAACCGGGGCCCTCCAGACCTAAGGGACCTGCCACCCAGGCAGGCTTCAGCTCCGACATCTGCCGTCAGGTAGCAAAGACAAAGTCGCTGGGCCCACCCAGGTGCAGCTGTTCCCTCTGGTGAGAGAACAGGGCACAGATGGCGCCCCCAGCAGGCCACCCCAGAGACAGATGGGACCCCTCCTCCCGTCAGGAAGGCCCAGAAAGGACACGCTGCCCACAGAAGCTGGGGCTGTCTCCCTGACGGGTCTGCTACGGGGCGGCCAGGCCACGGCGTCTGGCTGTGCAGTCTGCTTGGCATGGGTGGGTGCCCACGTCCAGGGACCCACTTCCCACTCAGGCAAGAGAACACGAACGCCCCACCCTCCCCGTCCTCGAGGGCCGCGGGATCTTCCGGAGTCTTCTCGGCCCCCACCTTGGCCTTGCCTGTTTCTGCCAGGTGGCCATCCCAGCACAGAAGAGTTGCCTTCTGCCTCAGAGGTGACCCCACAGCCTCCAGACAAGGGGACCCCAAGAGCGAGGGCCGACTCCTGGGTTTGCAACCACAGCAAGCGCCAAAATCACACCCAGGGGTGCAGGTCCCGTTTCTGCACAGGGCTCGGGGCTTCTCTGGGACCGATGACTGAAACTGCAGAGCCCCAAACACTGAACACCAACCCCGCCGGGGCCCGTGCGCTCGGCCTCCGTGTGCAACTTCCAGGCACCGGGCACTTCTTGTTCCCAACAGGGCCGCGGTGCTGGGGGCATCATGGGAGTGGGAGAGCTTTGTGGTCTTTTCCAGAGCCCGTGTGTTTGGTTCGAGGGCAGCAGTGCCACTCTGCAGCTGGCCAAGAGTTGCAGGGGAGGGCACAGATTGTCCCCCGCCTCCTACCTGCAGTGCCTCCCGTGGCCCAAGCCTCAGGTGTGGGCAGTGCCCCGGAGTGAAGGGGTCCTTGGGAAGGGCTCGGACCCTCTAGGGCAGCCCTCCCCAGACAGCTGAGGCAGCCCGAGTCCACACGGGAGCTGCGGGAGGCTGGGACCTGGGAACGCTTCCCCTGACACGTCCTGGTCTCTGAAGTCCACCTTCGGGGCAAAGAGGCCCCTGTGCCCGGGTCAGGTCCTCAGCCCACCCCCGAGTGCTTGCTCCGCTGCCACCATCTATTTGGGTCTTCTCAGTCTCTTGGCGCTGCCGGCCTGTGGCTTGTGGGGGTTGCTGGGAGGCAGTGGGCTGTGGAGGCGGCCTGTGCTGTCTGCGGACCCTGGGAGAGACAGGGAGACTTCAGTCTGTGGCCCAGGCAAACTCGGGTACAGCCTGCACCCCGGCTGGGCCCGCGGTGGGTGCATACCCTGGCCCTGCCACACCCAGTTGCTCTCCTCTGCCACGCCAGGGCCACCTTCTGGGCCTCCGGGACCTCCCCTGCCCAACCTGCAGCCTCAGGCGTGCAGGTCACTGCCCGGACTCTGCCCACAGGGTCCAGGTGAAAATCCCAGGAGCATGTGGGACAGGAGCCGGGGGCAGCACAGGGACGGGGGAGTCAGCGACCGACCTCGGATGTCCCTGGGCAGGACGGGCACCCTGCTTGGGGCTGGGCTGCTCCGCCACGTGGCGCTGGGGAAGGTGAAGCTGACCTCTGGCACGCGCAGCATGTGTTCATCTGAGAGTGAGAGCAGAGACAGGAGAGGGTGCTTACCTCCAGGACCACGCACTGAGCCTGGGGCCAGCCACGGACACGCAGCGTGAGCACTGCCGTGGTGAGCCACAGACACGCAGCGTGAGCGCTGCCACAGGCCAGCCCAGGGTCACACATCACAGACACGCCACATGAGTGCCTGCTGCAGGCCAGCCCGGGGTCATGCATCACACACACGCCACATGAGCGCCTGCCGCGCTGGGGTTCACGGACAGACTGCTTAGTTTAGGGGTCCTACATCAACAGGGCCGTGTTGCAGCAGCGTAGGTTAAGCCCGGGGTCACACATCACACACACGCCACATGAGCGCCTGCCACGGGCCAGCCCGGGGTCACGCATCACACACACGCCAAATGAGTGCATGCCGCGGGCCAGCCCGGGGTCACGCGTCACACACACGCCACATGAGCACCTGCCGCGGGCCAGCCCAGGGTCAAGCATCACACACACGCCACATGAGCACCTGCCGCGGGCCAGCCCGGGGTCACACATCACACACACGCCACATGAGCACCTGCCGCGGGCCAGCCCGGGGTCACACATCACAGACACGCCACATGAGCGCCTGCTGCAGGCCAGCCCGGGGTCACACATCACAGACACGCCACATGAGCGCCTGCTGCAGGCCAGCCCTGGGTCACGCGTCACACACATGCCACACAAGTGCGTGCTGTGGGCCAGCCCTGAGTTACACATACAGACACGCCACATGAGTGTGTGCCGTGGGCCAGGCTCTTTCCTACAGTCTCCCGGCTTGCCCTCCCCACAGGGTCTTTTCTGCACCCTGCACCCCACCCTCGGAGCCCTGTCTCCCTCCTTCAGGCCCTGCCCTGCACCCCACCCTCGGAGCCCTCCCCAGCCCAGCCTTCAGCCCGCCCTCCCTCCCTCCCTCCCTCCGCCCCGCCTGCTCTCAGCTGAGCTCACTCACGGCAGTGAGGAGGAACGCCTGGGCCGACCCAGACGCCGCCCTCAGTGGAACAGGCAGCAAGGGCTGGGTGGTGGGGACAGGCTGCCCTCAGCGCCACACTGGGGTCATCAGGTCCCTGCTCAGCGGTCACCCAGAGATCTCCCAGCTGCCCCTGACCCACACCCCGCTCCTGATTCTGCCCCAGAACTCTCACCACCTGCCAAGAGTCGGTGCCCTCGCTCCCCAGGCAGCCGAGGGCCAGCTCCGTGCGAGGAGCACTCTGCTTTCTGTTTTCCAGGGCCAGAGCGCTGGGTACAGCAGGTGCCCAGGGAACCATCTCCGAGTGGCGGGGCGCTGTGGAGTCCAGGCTAAGCCCGGGTCTACACATCCTCCCTCACAAGTCCGGTCTACACTGGCTCTTTACTGACCCTGAGCAGCACTTCCTCTCTCAGTCCGAGGGGGACCCAGGAGTCAGAGCGCTGTGCCGACCCTGCCAGCTCTGCTCCGTGTGTGCCGTCTGTGCAGGGGCGCCTCGGGGACAGGGTTGTAGACAGGCAGGAGGCACCACGCCTCCCCTTCCGGGTACTTGCTGCCCCTTCCCTGCCCCACGTGCATGGCGGGCCCAGCTCGTCACTGCACACCCAGTGCGATCCACATCAGGGCATGAACATAGGACCGGCAGCACTGCCGCCCTGGCCTGCCAGTGAGCAATCCAGCTGGCCCTCCCAGCTCTCCCTGCAACCCCTAAGAGGGTGAACCTGGCTTCCCAGGAAGGGCCTGGCCAGAGCACAGACACCTGGTCTGCCCCACCCCCTGCCTAGTACACACACAGCCAGGCAGGTGCAGTGGGAGGGACACAGAGGTGCCCGTCCCGGCCATGCCACTGATGCACACGGACTCTGCAGATGTCACTTGCACCGGCCAGGCCTCAGTTTACCCATCTGAGCACTGACTCTAAGGAGCCTGGACTTCTCAGCTGTGGAGCAGAGCCTCAGCAGGGGACAGCTCAGAGCCTCCGGGAACCAGGAGCCGCGTTCCAGCCCAGAACTTGGCCCCTTTCTTGCCAACCAGGAGGCCTTTCCAATCCACTCATGCTTGTTTGAAAACTACTGGCTCCCGACGCTGCGGCATAGCGGGTAGAGCCGCCGCCTGCAGGGCTGGCATCCCATATGGGGGCCGGTTCAAGTCCCGGCTGCCCCACTTCCGACCCTGCTCCTGCTGTGGCCTGGGAAAGCAGTGGTGGATGCCCCAGTCCTTGGGCCCCTGCACCCGCGTGGGGGACCCAGAGGAAGCTCCTGGCTTCAGATGGGCACAGCTCTGGCTGTTTTGGCCAAGTGGGGAAGGAACCAGCGGATGGAAGACCTCTCTCTCTCCTTCTTTCTCTCTCTCTCTCTCTCTCTCTCTCTGCCACTGGCTCTGGCTCTGGCTCTCTGTAACTCTGCCTTTCAAATAAATAAACAAATCTTTTTTTAAAAAAAGCTTTTGAAAGCAGAAAATTCCGTAAGGACAAAAATATCTGTGGTGTTTGAAAAGCGTCACTGCAGGCCTGTCTCGTTCTCTCCGAGGAAGGAACCCGGCGCCGAGGAACCCCAGGTCCAGCTGAAGGCTGCCACCGCGCTGCCGTCGGGATCAGAGACGTGGAGGCCGTGCGAACGGACTGGGCCATGCCAGGCAGGGCATGGACACACGCACTGCTTCCTCTGGCCTGGACGTGCAGCACCACAGCCCCCACAGAGACACACCCTCATAAAGCACAGCCTGAAAGGACGCGTGGAGCTGCGGCTGGGAGCTGGGGCCCCGGAGCCAGCCCACCTGGCTGCAGACCCCAGCTGCCACGCCCCGCTGTGTGGCTTTGGGCGAGTCTCTCAGCCTTTCTGTGCCCCAGATGACCCATCAGTAAAATAAAAGCTGCTGGCTGGCGCCACAGCTCACTAGGCTAATCCTCCGCCTGCGGCACCGGCACACTGGGTTCTAGTCCCGGTCGGGGCGCCGGATTCTGTCCCGGTTGCCCCTCTTCCAGGCCAGCTCTCTGCTGTGGCCCGGGAGTGCAGTGGAGGATGGCCCAAGTGCTTGGGCCCTGCACCCCATGGGAGACCAGGAGAAGCACCTGGCTCCTGCCATCGGATCAGCGCGGTGCGCCAGCCGCAGCAGCCATTGAAGGGTGAACCAACGGCAAAGGAAGACCTTTCTCTCTGTCTCTCTCTCTCACTGTCTAACTCTGCCTGTCTAAAATAAATAAATAAATAAAAAATAAAAGCTGCTCTCGCCCTCACAGGAGGCCCCCGAGGACCAAGGGGCGGGGCCTGCAGGTGCCTCGCTCGCCCTGGCGCGGCGGGCTGTGGAGCCTGGCGCACTCAGAGCTCCGCGCCGAGGCTGAGCTTGTGCACCTGGGGTTGGTTTTCCCCGTCTGCAGGGAGCTGTAGTGGCAGGCGGAGCCAAAGCGAATTAGCAGGAAGCCAAACCAAACACTTAGAGAAATACAGAACCTGCCCCCGGGTCACAGGTGGAGGCACCGTCAAACCCTCGGGTGTGTTTCCAGACGCTTGGGGTCAGCCCTGGGCCAGCAGCAGTGACCCGGGCCGGGGGTGGGCACGGCGCCCACGCCACCGCCCGTCGATGGTGACGGGCGTCCCACAGCGCCCACTTCGGGGCACGGGGCTTCCAGGAGCTCTCCCCTTTAGCACGGCACCCGTGCTGTGGGCTGCTCGCAGTGAGCACGTGTGATCCAGGAAAGACAAGCCCTCAGCCCTGCACGGAACAAGCCCAGGGCCGGCCTGCGTGGACGCAGCCGACGGCGTGCACGGCTCTGGGCCTTGCCTCGGCCTCGGGGCTGTGAGGAGTAAGGAGGCCAGCAGCAGAAGCGAGCACTCTGCGAATGCCATGGCTCGCTCACGGCCCTCACAGCGGGGCAGCCGGAGACCCACGCACACACACTCACGCACACACACACTCATGTTCACACTCACGTCACACACGCACACTCAGGGCGGAGTGCTGGGGCACAGAACGTAACAGCCGTCGTCTCTCTCGTCCTCTACCTGTGTGGAAGCCGAGGCCGGGCTTGGTCCTGGAGGCTGTGGGGACGGGAGGGAGAAAGCTCCTCCCGGGCGGCTTGGCCGGCGCAGCGGGCGGCTGGCTCTCTCCCGCCGGCTCCACAGCAGGGCCCCGAGGCTTCTCCGCCACCTGCAGGGAGAACCAGAGAGCAGGGCAGGGTGGAGAAGCAGGTGACCGGGTGGCCTGTGGGGGCCTGCACTGATTAAACACCTACTCACCTACTGTGTGCGGGCTGCTCTGGCAGCTGGGGGCCTCCAGGACACATAGCCAAGCTCCCCGCAGCCCCACGTGTGAACAACGAATGAACGAATGAGTGACCCCTGGGCTATGTGCCCTGCCCCCTCTCCCACCCCCGGCGCCCAGTGGGGAGAGGGTTCTCCCCTAAGTCAGAGCGACGGTGGGTCCCACACGTCAGCCCCGCTGGGCTGGGCGCCAGGTGAGTTTTTGGTGGATGGAGGGAAGGGCACACCCTCCACAGGCCGAGCAGAGCACAGGGACAACAGAAACCCCCCGCCTCCCCCCTGCACCCGCACAGGGGCCCTGCATGCCAGCCGGGCCGGCCTCCCCCTGCACCCACACAGGGCCCCCGCGCTCCAGGCCTCCTGGGCTGGCCCCACCACAGAGCTCAGGACCCATTGGCCCCCACAGTCACGGGAGCAGGTTCTTTGTAACAAATCTCTCTCTCCACACACACTCATATGTGTACACTCACATACACATACACACCACACACACTCACACACATGCACACATGCAGATACACATGTGCATAAAGCACACTCACACACATACCATGCATGGGATGCACACATATGCTTGCACATACACTCAATACACACCATGTGTGGGGTGCACACACATGCACATGCACACATTACACACAATGCACAATTACACATATAAACACATACATACACATACATAAGGGCACTTCAAAGGGTGTTGAAAACAGAATTCAAAGTTTATCTTGGTACAAAACATTTGAAATCTATGCATGCGAGGACTCTTCAGAAGGTTCCTAATGAAAATTGCATATTATGGCCGGCGCCGCGGCTCACTAGGCTAATCCTCCGCCTTGCAGCGCCGGCACACCGGGTTCTAGTCCCGGGCGGGGTGCTGGATTCTGTCCTGGTTGCCCCTCTTCCAGGCCAGCTCTCTGCTGTGGCCTGGGAGGGCAGTGGAGGATGGCCCAAGTGCTTGGGTCCTGCACCCCATGGGAGACCAGGAAAAGCACCTGGCTCCTGCCATCGGATCAGCGCTGTGCGCCAGCCGTGGAGGCCATTGGAGGGTGAACCAACGGCAAAGGAAGACCTTTCTCTCTGTCTCTCTCTCTCACTGTCCACTCTGCCTGTCAAAAGATTTAAAAAAAAAATTGCATATTATGAAAAACTGCACGGATTTCAAAATGTTTTGTACCAAAATAAACTTACCTTTTTGTTGTTGTTTACTTAAAGAGCAGACAGATAAAGAGACACAGACAGAGGTCTCCCATCTATTGGCTCACTCCCCAAAATACTACAACAGCTGGGGCTGGGCCAGGCAGCAGCCAGGAGCCAAGAACTCCATCCAGGTCTCCCAGCTGGTGGCAGGGGCCCAGGTACTTGAGCCGTCACCTGCAGCCTCCCAGGGTGCACACGGGCAGGGAGCTGGCATCAGGGGCTAGGCCAGGGCTTGAACCAGGCCCCCTGATGTGGGATGTGGGCGCCCCCAGTAGTGTCTTGGCCACTGGGCCAAATCCCTTCTCCAGCTCATCTTTTTTTTTTTTTTTTTTTTTTTTTTTTTTTTTTTTTGACAGGCAGAGTTAGACAGAGACTGAGAGATGGGTCTTCCCTCCGTTGGGTCACCTCCAGCTCATCCTTTGATTCCATTTTCCATGGCCTTTCTGGAGCGCACCACACATCTCCCTCCTGTAAACTGTTTCTCTGGGGCACCTGACCCACCGCCTGTCTGCTTTCTGCTGCTGTCCTGCCTCTGCATATGCCGAACAAGTTGCCAGACTCACTCCAGTCCTGAGCCAGCAGGTGCCCACTGCCGTGTCGCACAGGCTCTGGCCAGCAGAGGTAGCTTGAAGCCGCCCCAGCCCACTGGCTCAGGGAGGCTGCTGGCCACTCCCTCCAGTTCACTCAGCCAAGTGTCCAGTGAGAGAGACCCGCAGTGAGGCCCCTCCCCCACACCCTGTGACCAGCTCCTCACTCGGCCGCGTGTTCTGATACTCTCGACCCGGTTTTGTCCACTTCTCCGTGGGCCAGCATGTTCAGCATCCCAGCAATGCCACTGAAAACGAAGACTGCTGCTCACCGGGGACACTGAGGCAGTGTGTGCGACAGTCAGAGGGAGGAGGCATTCACAAACTGTCCGCAGTTGGGGGGGCAAACCAGCCAGCCAGCGCCCCACAGCCAGCACCCACGCCCATTACCCGAGTGATGCATTATGGGACCAAGGAACAGACTTCTCCCTTAATTTAAAACACAAAGACCGTGTGAGTATATGAAGACATATGAAACAATGCTAAGAAAAAAGCATCCTGGGGCCAGCACTGTGGCATGGCCGGTAAAGCCGCTGCCTGCAGTGCCAGCATCCCACATGGGTGCTGGTTCAAGTCCCGGCAGTTCCACTTCCCATCGAAGATGGCCCAAGTGCTTGGGCCCCTGCACCCATGTGGGAGATCCAGAAGAAGCTCCTGGCTCCTGGCTTTGGCCTGGCCCCGCCCCAGTCATTGCAGCCATTTAGGAAGTAAACCAGCAGATGCAGGATGGATCTCTCTAACTCTGCCTTTCAAATTAAAAAATAAAAATTTTTAAATCCATATTCATTAACTCCTCAGGAGCTTGAGAAGGTCTGAGGGTGGGCGGTGCAGGGCCTTGCTTGCTCCGGTCCCACTCCAGGCCAAGGCCCTCCTGCGGCCACCATGACTCTGTGTCACCCCTGACCTGTCCCTGCTGCACCCTGGCACTAGGCAGGGAGTGCCCGGCCGATGTCCACTCACCAGCTGCGTGCTCCTTGTGAGGGAGGGTGACATCTTCCTCCCGCCCCTCCTCTCCACGGAGCGGTCTCTGCACGGGCTGGCTCCGGGCCACATCCTGTCTGTGGGGCTAGGCCCCGGGGTGGCGCTGGGTTTCCGGTCCCTGGGACCTGGGGCAGTCTCCTCCAGGAGGTGGCAGGAGGACCGGCCGCTGCTGCCCTCCTGGTCCTGCACCCTGCAGCGCCGGGTGGCCGCGACCAGGGCGATGTTCTTGGTGCCTGCAGCCATCTCCTTCAGGGCCTGAGTGCTCAGGGCCGAGCCGCCAGCCTCCCCCGACGGCCGCAGGGCGCTCAGCTCCGGGCTGGCCGCGGGGCGCAGTGTGGGGGCCAAACTCTTCCTGCTCAGGAAGCCGGGCCTCTGCAGGAAAGCAGTAGCCGGGGAAGGTCAGAGGGCACCGGTCACTGCCGCCCCTGGCCGCACACTGAGGCAGAGGACAAGGACAGAGCCAAGGGAGGGTGCATGACAGTGAGTGACCTCACAGGACACCCGGGAGGGCAGGTGGGCCTGAAGCCAACCTAGTGGCAGGGAAGGGACAGGGAGGAGCTGGGAGGCGGTCACGTGAGGTCGGGGGCAGGGACTGGAGGGCGTGGCCACAGGCCGAGGAGCCCTTGGTGTGCCAGGAGCTGGAAGAGACCAGCAAGGGTGCCCCGTGGTACCCTCAGAGGCAGGGATCTCTGACCCGCGGGTGGACTGTGGGCATTTAGCTCCGGATCTGTCTGCTGACCAGCCCCGGGAAGCCCACACTGGCACTAACGCCCCACTGGGTGCCGGGCTCCTAAGTGGTCGCCCCCGTTGCGAGCACTGCTTCAGAACAGAGCGTAGCGGCCCTCCCACCATCCCTGGCCCTGGTGTGGCAGCGGGTGGGAGGGGAGGCCTCTCAGAGCCCAGGCCCTGGTCAGGTGCCCCCACCTCATGAGTCAGAGGCACCAGCAGGGTGTGCAGTGGGGGTGGGGGCCGGATCGAGTCCTGCCTGCCCAGCTTCATCGATGGTGTGGCTTTCGGCGACCCATGGCTGTCACTGCAGAAGAGACACAGAAGCGTCAGCAGAGCCCACGGCCGGGTCCCCATGTCCCACATCACAGCCAAGGCAAGCCCGCGCCAGAGTCTTTGGCCACTGCTCCAGCCACATGGACCGTGGCCCTCACGTGGAGCCGGGTGATGACCACAGCACACTTCTGTGGTTTGGGGCCGAGCTGGCTGCCAGGAGCTGTGCCCGGTGTGCAGTTTTCAGCAGGTGCAGCCCTGCCCTGCCATACCATGTCCAAGAGACACAGACAACTCTGCACATTTGCTATGTGCAGAAAGAAGGGCACAAAGACGTGCTGGTCTCTGACCCCAGTTCCTGCAGAACCCCTGGCTGGCCCCGAGCCCCAGCAAAGCCTCTGTTACGCTCAGGAGGTGGCTGCCAGTGGGTCCTGGGCAGCTTGGGCTGGCACTGGTCTCCAGAAGCAGCATGTATGTTTAGGGTCGGGAGGGGAGGAGGCTGGGGACAGCATTCTGTCGCCTGACAATGATATGATCAACCATGCTGTGAAATGAAAACTCCGCAAGCCCGGGGAGGTGCCTCAGTCGCAGCAGCAGCTGGAGCCGCCCTGCTGCCCAGGACCTGGAGCCACTGACCGATCCAGGCCCAGCGTGCAAGGCCCCAAACCCACCGGCTCCCCACGGGGGTCACTGCTGCAGCGAAGGCTCTGACAGATGGAAGCCACCTCCGACCCCGACTGCAGGTGGGCAGGTCCCAGGCCCGGGTTCGAGTATCTCGTTCAGGACGTGGGGTTAATGCCTGTCTTCCTGCTCAGCAGGTGCAGCTATGAGCTCACAGACAGGCGGGGACCTGGGTACCGCAGTCACACAAAGTGCACCCTCACTGCACCCTGGTTTGAACAAGCCAGATGCAAAGGCATTTGGGGTAAAACTGGAGAAATCTGACTACAGACAGGACATGAGACGACACTGAAGCATTGTTAACTTTGTTAGGAATAACAGCTACACTGGGCCGACACCGTGGCACTGGGGCCACACCAGCACCCTCCAATATTGGAGTGCTGGTTTCAGTCCTTGCTGATGAACTTTTTTTTAAAAGATTTACTTGAAAGGCTGAGTTACAGAGTCAGAGAGAGAGGGAGGTCTTCCATCCACTGGTTCACTCCCCAAATGGCCACAATGGCCAGAGCTGCACCGATCCAAAGCCAGGAGCTTCTTCCAGGTCTCTCACAAGGGTGCAGAGGCCCAAGGACTTGGGCCATTCTCTACTGCTTTCCCAGGCCACAGCAGAGAGCTGGATCGCAAGTGGAGCAGCCGGGTCTTGAACTGGAATCCATATGGGATGCTGGCACCACAGGCAGTGGCTTTACCCGCTATGCGACAGCACTGGTCCCCAGCTCCATTTCTGATCCCACTCCCTGCTAATGCACCTGGGAGGTAGCAGGTGATCACTCAAGTACCTGGGCCCCTGTCACCATGTGGGAGACCAGACGGAGTTCTTGGCCCAGCCCTGGCTGTCGCAGCCGTCCGGGGAGTGAACCAGTGGATAGAAGACAGATATCTCTCTCTCACTTTCGTCCACTATCTCTGTCAGTCTGCCTGTCCAATGCGTAAACAAAGGGGCTGGTGCTGTGGTGCAGCAGGTTAAGCCATGGTCTACAGGCTTAACCTGCTGCACCATAGCACCAGCCCCTTTGTTAACTTTGTTGGGAATAACAGCTACACTGGGCCGACACTGTAGCACTGGGGGAACCCCTTATGGACACCAATTCTAGTCCCGGCTCCTCTGCTCCCGACTCAGCTCCTGCTAACACACCGGGGAAGGCAATGGAAGATGGCTCAAGTCCTTGGGCCCCTGCACCCAAGTAAGAAACCCAGAGCAGCTGGCTCCTGGCTTTGGCCTGGTCCAGCCCTGGCCATTATGGTCATTTGGAGAGTGAACCAGTGGATGAAAGACCTCCTTCTCTGTCTCTCCTCTCTCTCTTTCTCTGTAACTCTGGTTTTCAAATAAGCAAATAAGTATTTTTAAAAATACATAAATAGGGGCCGGCGCTTGGCACAGCCAGTTAATGCCCTGGCCTGAGGCGCCGGTTCAAGACCTGGCTGCTCCACTTCCGATCCAGCTCTCTGCTATGGCCTGGGAAAGCAGTAGAAGATGGCCCAAGTCCTTGGGCCCCTGCACCCACGTGGGAGACCCGGAAGAACCTCCTAGCCCCTGGCTTTGGATCGGCGCAGCTCCAGCCATTGCAGCCATCTGGGGAGTGAACCAGCAGATGGAAGACCTCTCTCTCTCTCTCTGTGCGTCTCCTCTCTCTATGTAACTCTGACTTTCAAATAGATATAAATTAATCTTTTTAAAAAAATACATAAATATACAGGAATTATGAACCAAAGATACACAGCAAACGCAAGGGGTGCCTCTGCCCTCCGACTTGCTAGTGCGTGCTGCGAGTGTCTCTGGGGCTGCGTCTGCTGTCAGTGGCACAGCCCTGCAGGAAGGGCCCTTCGCTGACAGAGAACACGGGGCCTCTGTCAGCCAGGCTGCGCAGGCTTCCCCTCCCAGCACCCTGGGCTCCACCCACCCCAGGCAGCAGGGCCCCGGCCAGGAGGCTTGGCCACCCCTCCTACCTGTATCTCTCCAGCAGTGTCGGGGGCAGCTCACACTGGGTGCCCCAGGGCAGGTCCTGCAGGTCCTCGGGCTGGTCTCGGCTGGACTCTCCCAGCGAGGGAGACAGACTGAGGACAGAGCCATCCTGGGGCCAGACAGAGGGGCCGGTAAGGCCGCCAGGCCGGGCAAGCGGTGCCGTGAAGCACAGGGTCTTGGGGAGGGGTGCCAGGAAGGCCACCACATAGCATGGAGCCACCACTCCAGTCCACAGCAAGGGAGCCAGCAAGTCGGCCGCCCAGCCCGTGCCATCGTCACGGAGGCAGAGGGAGGCTCTGCAGTGTGGGAAGACCCCGGGGCCCAGCGACACCGCCTTGACCTTGTGTATGGGGAGACACCTGTTGTCAGAAACCCTACAAGGCCTGCAGGCTCCCAAAGAGCGCACAGAATTGGCTGGGGACCTGCAGTGTTGCTTCTGGGTGTAGGCCCAGAAGAACTGGCAGCAGGGTCTTCCGGAGAGAGCTGTGCGCCCGCGTCACGAGAGCCCAGAGCAGGAGGCCACCCAGCGTCCAGTGAGGGACGTGTGGGTCACACGACAGGGTCTATCCCAACACAGACAGCACGCGGCCTCAGAGGAAGGAGGCTCCCCCGCCTGCGGCAATGCGGCAATGCAGCATGCCCAGGGCCGGTGGCCAGCCACGAAGGGACGAGCCTGCTCCCAGACCAGAGCTGAGTGCACAGGCTCAGGCTGACCTCGAGAACGCCAGACACGCAGACCAGAAGCAGCCCTCAAAGAGCTCTCCGCGAGCGAGAGCCCCGAGAGGGGCCAGAGAGCGGGCAGCCGCGCAGGGCTGCGGGACTGAGGGCACACGCGCACAAAGTGAACCACAGCTCCTGAGGCGGACTGTGGGCCAGCAGAGGCCACAGGCGCTCGCGTCACTGTCACGCAGGAACGCAAAGCGGAGCACCCCCCGGAGGGCAGGGTGGCGGCTCCTCCCCCAGCTCAGCCATGGCTCCTTGACGTCCACCCTGCACGTGGCCGTCTCCAGTGCTTTGTTCAAAGCTGGCAACACCGAGAGCCACCGAGATGTCCCTCAGTAGGTGAATGGATAAGCAAACCGTGGCCCCTCCCTACAGGGGAGAGCACTCAGCGCTGAGTAGGAATGGGCCCCAGCCATGCAGACACTGGGGGGCCTTAACTGCGTATCACTGAGCAGAAGAAGCCAGACGGACGGGCTCCAGCCTGCGTGACTCCCAAATCTGTGACAGGTGGACAGTGGGAAGATCAGGGTGAGCAGGGGTAGAGCTCAGGGCGGCAAAAACCCCCAATTATGCTTCTCCAACACCCGCAGGCTGCCCAGGCCAGGCATGAGCCCTCAGGTAAGTACAGATCAGGGCGGGGGCGGGGGAGGCTGTGTACATGGTGGGGAGGGGCACTGTATCTTCCACTCAGTTTTGCTGTGAACCTAAAACTCTAAAAAGAAAAGCCTGGGGAGTGCAGTGGAGGATGGCCCAAGTGCTTGGGTCCTGCACCCCATGGGAGACCAGGAGAAGCACCTGGCTCCTGGCTTCGGATCAGCGCAGTGCACCAGCCACGACGGCCATTGGAGGGTGAACCAACGGCAAAGGAAGACCTTTCTCTCTGTCTCTCTCTCTCACTGTCCACTCTGCCTGTCAAAAAAAAAAAATAAATAAATAAATAAAAATAAAAAGAAAAGAAAAGCCTGGGGCCGGCACCATGGCACACTAGGTTAATCCTCCTGCGGCGCCGGCATCCCATATGGCGCCAGTTCTAGTCCCGGTTGCCCCTCTTCCAGGCCAGCTCTCTGCTGTGGCCAGGGAGTGCAGTGGAGGATGGCCCAAGTGCTTGGGCCCTGCACCCCATGGGAGACCAGGAGGAAGCACCTGGCTCCTGGCTTCAGATCAGCGTAGCTCTGGCTCTAGCGGCCATTTGGGGGCTGCACCAATGGAAGGAGGGCCTTTCTCTCTGTCTCTCTCTCTCACTGTCTGTAACTCTACCCACCAAATAAATAAATAAAATCTTAAAAAAATTAAAAAATAAAATAAAAAATGAAGATAAAAATTTTAAAAATTTTAAAAAAGAAAAAGAAAAGCCTGCTACAAAGAGAGACAAAAACTAAGCCAGGGCCTGCCTCTGGGCAGAGCGGCAAAATGGAACACAGAGGCAACATTCTGCAAGCCTGATGGTGAATTCCAGGTAACCGAGCCAGGAGACCCAGGAAAGCCAGCCCAGAGCCCCGGGACCTGCTTCACACAGCCCATGACATGCACACGGCTCACAAAGTCCACATGGCCCAGTGTGCACACAGCCCCAGTGTGCACACAGCCCCAGTGTCCACACAGCCCAGTGTCCACACAGCCCAGTGTGCACACAGCCCCAGTGTCCACACAGCCCAGTGTCCACACAGCCCCAGTGTCCACACAGCCCAGTGTCCACACAGCCCCAGTGTCCACACAGCCCCAGTGTCCACACAGACCCAGTGTCCACACAGCCCAGTGTCCACACAGCCCCAGTGTCCACACAGCCCAGTGTCCACACAGCCCCAGTGTCCACACAGCCCAGTGTCCACACAGACCCAGTGTCCACACAGCCCAGTGTCCACACAGACCCAGTGTCCACACAGACCCAGTGTCCACACAGACCCAGTGTCCACACAGCCCAGTGTCCACACAGCCCAGTGTCCACACAGACCCAGTGACCACAGACCCAGTGTCCACACAGCCCAGTGTCCACACAGACCCAGTGTCCACACAGCCCAGTGTCCACACAGCCCAGTGTCCACACAGCCCAGTGTCCACCCAGTATCCACACAGACCCAGTATCCACACAGCCCCAGTGTCCACACAGCCCCAGTGACCACACAGCCCCAGCGTCCACACAGCCCCAGTATCCACACAGACCCAGTGTCCACACAGACCCAGTATCCACACAGCCCCAGTGACCACACAGCCCCAGTGACCACACAGCCCAGTGACCACACAGCCCCAGTGACCACACAGCCCAGTGACCACACAGCCCCAGTGACCACACAGACCCAGTATCCACACAGACCCAGTGTCCACACAGACCCAGTATCCACACAGACCCAGTGACCACACAGCCCCAGTGACCACACAGCCCAGTGACCACACAGCCCCAGTGACCACACAGACCCAGTATCCACACAGCCCCAGTGTCCACACAGCCCCAGTGACCACACAGCCCAGTGTCCACACAGACCCAGTGACCACACAGCCCCAGTGACCACACAGACCCAGTATCCACACAGCCCCAGCGTCCACACAGACCCAGTGTCCACACAGACCCAGTGACCACACAGACCCAGTATCCACACAGCCCCAGCGTCCACACAGACCCAGTATCCACACAGACCCAGTGACCACACAGCCCCAGTGACCACACAGACCCAGTATCCACACAGCCCCAGCGTCCACACAGACCCAGTGTCCACACAGACCCAGTGACCACACAGACCCAGTATCCACACAGCCCCAGCGTCCACACAGACCCAGTATCCACACAGACCCAGTGACCACACAGCCCCAGTGACCACACAGCCCAGTGTCCACACAGCCCCAGTGACCACACAGCCCCAGTGACCACACAGCCCCAGTGACCACACAGCCCCAGTGTCCACACAGACCCAGTGACCACACAGCCCCAGTGTCCACACAGCCCCAGTGACCACACAGCCCAGTGTCCACACAGACCCAGTGTCCACACAGACCCAGTGTCCACACAGCCCCAGTGTCCACACAGCCCAGTGTCCACACTGCAGTCCTGCAGGTCGGGCAGCAGGGTCTGTTGCTGCCCTCAGGCCCTGACCCTGAACCTGCGCACTTCGGGGCAGTGGTCCTTGCCTGCCTGGCTGAGGCCAGAGGCCGCTCACCCCTGCTCCTGCGAGGGCGCCACAGGTCCGGGGCTGAAGGAGGCTGAGGGGACAGTGGCGTTCTCACTGCAGCACACGGACGCAGAGGCCACCCCACAGCCCTCCTTCCCCCCAGGGAGTCCCTGAGACCCAGACACCCCCGAGGATGAGGACGCGCTCTGGGTTGCCGAGGTAACGAGGTCCGCCACTCGGGGAGCCCAGGCTTCCTCCCTGCCGGCCTTCACGCCCTCCCCCCATGCCAGGGTCCGGGCGACAGCCAGGGACTGCGGGTGCCACAGCAAAGCAGACCACGTGCAGCCACGCCAGATCCGCCTGGCTGCCCGCCTGCCCTCGCGTTGGCCTCCAGGGCCCAGGATGGGGCTCTCCTGTCCCTAAGTCCTGGGGCCGTGCGTGGACTCACCCGGAGGGAGCTGGCCATCACGGAGTGTAGCAGCAGCAGGTGGTCCAGGGCGCCCTCGGCCAGCTCCTGCGAGCACAGGCGGTACTGCTTGTCCAGGGGCTCGGGCACAGGGACGCCTCGGTCTGCAGAGCCGGGAAAGCGGAGACTGGAGTGGGCATGGAGGGCGACTCCACCCCACACACAACCAGGCCAGACACCCATCGCTGGCTGGAGGCAGGGGGGGACGCTCAGCCTGCCGGGGCAGCTTTGCTGGAGGGGAGCGTCCACGTGCTGCTCCGCACGCCTGCTCTGAGGCCTTCGGCTGCGCTCGTGGGCTGCCTCTCAGTCGCACAGCACCGACGCACACAATTCTGAAGGCACAAAGCCACTCCCAGAGGGGCACCACTTCCTGGTGTGTGCTCGGGAGATCGGAAAGCAGGCACCGGCAAGACCAGCCCGACGCCCGGCAGTGCTCGGCACGAGAGCCGAGGCATGCACACCACCCCAGTGCCTGGGGCAGGCACCACGCCAGGCTACCACAGCCGCGTGCAGTGGGGACCCAAGGTCTCCTCGTGCCACAGGCACATCAGTGGGACAACCGCAAGCTCAGATGAGGCCTGCCTCGCGGTGTCACACCAGCGTGGGTGCCTGTGCGCAAGTGTTTCTAGGACACACACTGCAGGGCACTGAAGGGCATCCCAAAACATGCTAAGGAGAGTCAGCGGGGAGTTCACAACGTCTGTGAAAAATGGAATTAAAAGATGTTCATGGGGCCGGCGCTGTGGCTTAGCGGGATGCCTGCAGTGCCGGCGTCCCATATGGATGCCGGTTCAAGTCCCGGCTGCTCCACTTCCGATCCAGCTCTCTGCTGTGGCCTGGGAAAGCAGTAGAGATGGCCCATGTGCTGGGCCCCTGCACCCACGTGGGAGACCTGGAAGCTCCTGGCTCCTGGCTTCAGATTGGTGCAGCTCCAACCGTTGTGGCCAATTGGGGAGTGAACCAGCAGATGGAAGACCTCTCTCTCTCTCTGCCTCTCCTTCTCTCTCTGTGTAACTCTTTCAAAGAAATATTTTTAAAAATATGTTCATTTTGGGGCAAAAAAAATTGAAATCCATGCATAGTTTTTTCTTTTTTTTTTAATTTTTTTTTATTTTTTTTTTATTTTTTTGACAGGCAGAGTGGACAGTGAGAGAGAGAGACAGAGAGAAAGGTCTTCCTTTGCCGTTGGTTCACCCTCCAATGGCCGCCGCGGCCGGCGCACCGCGCTGATCCGATGGCAGGAGCCAGGAGCCAGGTGCTTTTCCTGGTCTCCCATGGGGTGCAGGGCCCAAGCACCTGGGCCATCCTCCACTGCACTCCCTGGCCACAGCAGAGGGCTGGCCTGGAAGAGGGGCAACCGGGACAGAATCCGGCGCCCCGACCGGGACTAGAACCCGGTGTGCCGGCGCCGCTAGGCGGAGGATTAGCCTATTGAGCCGCGGCGCCGGCCCATGCATAGTTTTTTCAAAACACATATTTTCCATGAACTTTTGGGAGCCTCTTCGTAAAGTCCAAGTGAGAACGATTACTACTGAAGAATTTTTGTGCTGTTCTTGCAGCTTTTATGGAACTCTGAGTCATGCCAAGATAAAAGGCTGAAAAGGAAGAGAACGCTCCAGGCGCTCCAGGGCAGAGGGAGAGGCAGGGCGTGGGTGTCTGGCCGAGCCGGTAAGACGCCCACATCCCGCACCCGGAGCCCTGGGTCCAGCCTCCTGCCCACAGAGCCTCCTGTAAATGGGTGCCTGCCGCCCACAAGGGACATCTGCTGGGTTCCCAGCTTTGGCCCTGGACATCGCAGGTGTTTGGGGAGTGAACCAGCAGGTAGGAGCTCTCTCTAGTTCGCTCTCTTTCTCCCTCTCTGTCTCTCTACCTCAGATAAATTAAAAAAAAAAAATTTTAAATGGAGAGAGGGGCCAGCATTGTGGCGTAGTGGGTAAAGTCATGCCAGCAATGCTGGCGTCCCACATGGGCGCTAGTTTGAGTCCCGGCTGCTCCACTTCCGATCCAGCTCTCTGCTAACGGCCTGGGGAAAGCAGCAGAAGACGGCCCAGGTGTTTGAGCCCCTGCCACCCATGTGGGAGACCCGGATGAAGCTGCTGGCTCCTGGCTGGGCCTGGCTGTTGCAGCCATTTGGGGAGTGAATCACTGGATGGAGATCTCTCTCTAACTCTGACTTTCAAATAAATAAATAAACTTTTTAAAAAATAATCAAAATAAACAGTGGAGAGAGGAAGAGCGAGGGCAGCCTGCCTGGCCCTGGCAGGGAGAGGGCCACCCAGCGTGGCGGGGGCAGGGCGCGTCTCCATGTTCGTCAGCAGCGCCGGTTCAAACGTCAAAGGCACTGCCGGTGACCAGGGAGGCTTCACTGCTCTGGCGCGACAGCTCCTGGGACGCCTGTCGGAGCAGGCCTGTCCTCTCGCGCCAGAGCTGGCTGTACGGGCGGAGGGCGGTCAGGCCTTGGTGTCCTGTTCACGTTAGGCCGTCCCGGACAGTCCCGTGTCTCCCACCCCCATGCACGGGAAAGGACGACGAGTAGGGCTGCGCCGGGCCTCACCCTGCATGCGCCGCCGCTGCTCGGCCACGAGCCGCTCGCAGAGGCGCCGGTGCTGGCGGTAGCGCTGGATCACGAAGTCCTTCTGGCACAGCAGGTTCTTGCGGCACAGGTTGCTGGCCTGCAGCTCCGTGTTCTCCACCTCCAGCTCGTGGGCCCTGCACAGCAGCCGCAGCACCTCCCGCTGGTCCTCGCTGCTGACGTGCCGGGGCAGCAGCTGCTCCATCTGCGAGGCCTTCCGCTTGGCGTGGGCCAGGCGCCGCTCCAGCCCTGCCTGCCAGAGAGACGGGGGCCAGAGGAGGCGCTGGGGCTCCGCTGGCCCTGGCTGCCCGTTCTCACGCGCCTGCCTTGTATGGTCTCCCAGAGGCTCTCGCGGCTAGGGACTCCCTAACTCTGGGGACCGCCAGTGACTCACCTGTGAGCACATCCTCTGCCTAGAGTCCACACCGCGGTCACCTCCCTGATGCGGCTCTCACACCCTGGCCACCAGCCCCCCGCCCTAGTCACCCAGGCCAGAGACAGCCCCCAGGCCCAGAGCCACTGAGATTCCTCAAATAGCCTCTCCCTTGCCTGCCCCCAGCTCCCGTTCCTTCCTTGCGCCTCTGCCTCCTGGCCGGCCTGGTGCTCCCCCGTGTGGCCTGCGTGGCCTGCTGGCCCTCCTGCTAGGAAGGAGCAGTGTACTGTCCCTTCGGTGGCAGTCATCTCCTGCACTGTCAGCCCCACAGAACTGCATGCTCCCGTGGTCACTTGGTGTCACAGACACACTCCCAGGGCTTACCCCCACTGCACACCCACGTGTCGGCCACAGGAAGCCAGAGCTGCGGCTTTCACCTGGGTCCTCCAGGTTCCCAGGGGGCGACCCTACCTCCATCGCACCACAGACCTGTTCACAGCCAGGGGCTGGCTCTCCTGGGCCACGCAGAGCACGAGAAGTGAGGTCTGAGGCCTGGCTCATCCGCTACAGGCCAGTGGGGACAGCTCTGCACTGGCACCCTCAATCGGGAGCCCTGTGGATCGGCCTGCTCCTCACTGCATCTGCGAGGTAGGGTCCCACAGAGGCCACCATGGAGACACAGACCCACACATGTGTGTGCGAGTCAGCCACACCTGCTCCGCACTGCAGCCTGGCCCAGGGGACAGAGGGGACACCACACCGTATAACTCCAGCTAGGCCCCAGACACACCACAGCCAGAGCTATCTTGGACTAGGGTCCACAGGAATGGGTCAGTGGGTCCCTGTGCTACCGGGAAGATGACCCCTGGCCACCTCCCTCTTGCCTGGAACTCACAGGGGACTGCCTGGCCCCCCTCACGAGGTCCTGCTCGCCTCCTTCAAGTCTCCATCCCCTGGACGCCCGGCTGTGCTGAGCACTCGTCTTGTCCCCAAGGATCCCTTGGCTGTGACCTCTGCTGTGAATTGCAGACCTCCAGCTCGTGCCTCATCCCACCAGCCCAGGGCCTGGTGGTCAGACCAAGGTCAGTTCTGAGTCTTCCGGGGATTTGGGACCATCCACCTCCGGGGGCCTCGGTTTCGTCACCCACACCCAGTTGCGATTGGCCTTACTCCCCAGGACGCGCTGATGTCCACCAGGGCCCACACCGTCCCCAGTTGGCGCGGACGACCCCTGCCCCTGCCACCGTGGCTACCTTGAGGGCTGCTGTTTTGCGCTGCTCTGCTAACAGCAGGTTGACCTCCTCCCTGGCCAGGGCCACCTCATGCGGCTCCGTGGACTCGCCATCGTCCCCGTCAGCGTCGGCGGGCGCCTCCTCCTTCTCGGGCTCCCCCTGGCCGCTGTGTGCGCGGAGGTGGGTCTTCTCCCGCTCCCAGCTGCAGTCAGACAGGTGAGCAGGTGAGCAGCGCCTGGCCGGCAGCCCTGCCCCCAGTCCCGGTCCTGGTCCTGGTCCTCCTGGCCGCAGCTGCCTGCTCACAGGCGTGCCGGTGGAGCAGACGGGGTTGGCCCTATGATTGCGCACATGTGTGCATGAGGTCTCTCCCAGCTGCCCAGCCTCCAGCCTCAGATCCGCCCATGGGCCCCTGGGTGACCTGGGAAGGCCCCTGCGTAAATGCACCCCTGAACCTCAGTCTCCACAGCTGTGGAACTTGGGCCACCTCAGCCTGCCCACCGTGGGGCTGTACGAGAATGAAGCGTGGCGGCCACAGCTCTGAAACCTAAACGGTCACAAGGAGCCCGCGGGGACGGGGCAGCAAAGGCGGACTTCCGGTGGGAGGTGGGCAAGACCGTGAAGTCCCCGGCAGTCCCCGGCAGGAGTCTCGTGCTCTTGGTATGGTTTCTACAGTAATCAAGGAAGGAAGGGAGAGCAGGTGAGCCGCGTGGGAGAAGCGCGAGGCAGGGTGAAGGGGAAGGCAGTGGAGGGCCATGGGGCCCAGCCTGTCCCGTGGCACCGCAACAGTGTCCCCCATGGCTGGTGAACGGCACAGCCAGAACCACAGGCATCCCTGTCCCCAGAGGGCACGAGCGGGACGCAGAGTGCCGTGGGACGACAGCCCTGGCCTGGGAGACGCACACTCCCCCAGGCCTCGGCTTCCTCTTCCACAGGGCTGCCTCGCAGCCACGGACTGGGAGGGAGGTCCAAGGGTCTGGACAGTTCTCCCACCTGGCCCGGCTTAGACCCAGGGGCAGAGGAGCAGGCGAGGCGGGGGCAGCCCTGGCTGGAAGCCTGCAGGTAGCAGAGGGTGGCTGGACAGCAGCACAGGAATGACGAGCTCCCACAGGCGGCCCCTCTGCCCCGCGGGGTGGGCGGGCGCACTCACTCGGCAATGGTCAGCAGGTGGCGGGACATGTCCATGTGCAGCTCAACGGTGGTGTTCTCCAGCTCCACCAGGCTGCGCCGCATCTCCTTCTGCTCCCTGAAGGCCCCGACCAGCTGAGCCCGAATCTTGTTCATCTGCAGGCGACTGTCCTCCTCCGCGTCGTGGGGGCTGAGCGTGACTGCAGGCAGCAAGGGAGCTGGCTGTGTGGGGCAGCGCACCTAAGCAGGCTTGCGCTTCATGCTCGCCCACCAGAATGGGGCCTAGACCATGGAGCAGCTCAAACACACATGATAGGGGCTGGTGCTGTGGCACAGCGGGTTAAAGCCCTGGCCTGAAGCGCCAGCATCCCATATGGGTGCCGGTTCTAGTCCCAGATGCTCCTCTTCCGATCCAGCTCTCTGCTGTGGCCTGGGAAAGCAGTAGAAGATGGCCCAAGTGCACCCATGTGGGAGACCAGGAAGAAGCTCTTGGCTCCTGACTTAGGATCAGCCCAGCTGCGGCCGTTGTGGCCATCTGGGGAGTGAACCAGCGGATGGAAGACCTCTCTCTTTCTGTCTCTACCTCCCTCTGTAACTCTGTCTTTCAAATAAATAAAATAAATCTGTAAAAGAAAACACACACGATGATAGCTGGGTGGGTGGGTGGGTGGAGGTGGATGGATGATGGATGATGGATGATGGATGATGATGGATGATGGATGATGATGGATGATGGATGATGGATGATGGATGATGGATGATGGATGGATGATGGATGATGGATGATGATGGATGATGGATGATGATGGATGATGGATGATGATGGATGATGGATGATGATGGATGATGATGGATGATGATGGATGATGATGGATGATGATGGATGATGGATGATGGATGGATGATGGATGATGGATGATGGATGATGATGGATGATGATGGATGATGGATGATGATGGATGATGGATGGATGATGGATGATGGATGATGATGGATGATGATGGATGATGAATGGTGGATGATGGATGATGATGGATGATGATGGATGATGGATGATGATGGATGATGGATGATGATGGATGGATGATGGATGGATGATGGATGGATGATGATGGTGGATGATGGATGGATGATGATGGATGGGTGGATGGACGGGTGGCTGGCTGGTTGCATAGGTGCCTGGATGGATGAGTAGGTGGATCAGAGGATGTATGAGTGATAGATGAAGGGAAGAATGGATAAATAGATGGAGGGAGGGAAGGAGGGATGAAGAACAGAGGGATGAGTGGATGGGAAGATGGGGGCAGCAGGCGGATAAAAGAGTGGACAGATGGCTGGACAGCTGGATGAGTGCACGGGTGCCTCTTTAACCTCCTCTGTCAACCCATCATGGACAACTGCCGACTCACAGACATACATGCCCACTTCCTCAATGGCAACCCAAAGAAAAGCCAAGAAGGAGCGGGAAAGCTCACAGAAGGAGAGACCAGAAAGATCTGTGGTGCCGTGAGCTTGCTGGGAGCGTGAACCTGGAAAGGCCATCGATGACCTGACTGCTGACACTGGGTGTGCAGGGACTCTGCAACTGTGTCCTTGCAAAGAACCCTTAAACTGGGGGCTCATACACTGATGCACACACGGGTAGGGGCCTGGCGTTTGCAGTGTGTGTGTGCGTGTTCCGTGCTGCCCCTCCTATTGGGCTTTATTTGAAAGATTCTCCATGATAAGAAAGGGAACACTTAGGGGCCAGCACGTGGACAGCAGGTAAAGCTGCCAGCTGTGACGCCGGCATCCCACGTGTGCACCGGTCTGTGCCCTGGCCACTTCACTTCCAACTCAGCTCCCTGCTAGTGGCCTGGGACAGCAGATGATGGCCCAAGTACCTGGGCCCCTGTCACCCACATGGGAGACCCGGATGGAGTTCCTGGCTCCTGGCTTCAGCATAGCCCAGCCCTGGCCATTGCAGCCACTTGGGGAGTGAACCAACAGAAGGAAGCTTTCTCTCTTGCTCTCTTTGGCTTTCAAATAAGTAACAATATTTTTTAAAAACAGTGAGCTTTGGGGTTGGCACTGTAGCTTGGCAGGTAAAGCTGCCACCTGCAGTGCCGGCATCCCATATGGGTGCTGGTTTGAGTCCCAGCTGCTCTACTTCCTATCCAGCTCTCTGCTGTGGCCTGGGAAGGCAGTAGAAGATGGCCCAAGTGCTTGGGCCCCTGCACCCACATAGGAGAACCTGAAGAAGCTCCTGGCTCCTGATCAGCGCAGCTCAGGCTGTTGCAGCCAACTGGGGAGTGAACCAGCAGATGGAAGACCTCTCTCTCTCTCTCTCTCTCTCTCTCTCTGCCTCTCTTTCTCTCTCTGTGTAACTCTTTCAAATAAATAAATAAATCTTAAAAAAAAAAAAAAAGGAAATACAGGACTGAGTTATCCCACAGAGAGGCAAAGAAGCTTATTTAAAAAAATAAATAAAAAAGACTGAGTTTTACGCTACTGAGAGTGGCCACGACAAACAAGTGGGGGAGGTGCTGAGGCTCACACTGGTGGGAGCTGGGGAGCTGGGCGAGCCCTGCTCCTCCTTTATAAATCTTAAACCTTTCCACTTAAGACGGCATTTAGAGGAAAGAAAAAACAGAAAGGCAGGAGGGAAAAGGAGAGGTTAAAAAAAGAAAAACGGGAAAGTAAGAAGAAGGAGCGAGAACAAGCCCAGCCCACGCTTCCCAGGGGAGGAAATGCAGGCTGGGGTCGGGGTCCCTGAGGCAGGGCCAGGTTGGGACGAAGCCCAGGCAGGGTCACAGGAGCTCCACACCAGCCCGGGGACAGCAGGGACAGGGCTGATGGCCACAGGGCGAGGGGCAGCGCCGGGTGGCACTGGGCTCTACCTTGCACATCCGGGACCCCAGGGCGGGGGGTGGGGGGGGCACTCGGCTCTACCTTGCACATCCGGGACCCCAGGGCGGGGGGTGGGGGGGCACTCGGCTCTAACATGCACATCCAGGACCCCAGGGCAGGGGGGCATTCGGCTCTACTGTGCACATCCAGGACCCAGGGCCGGGGGGGCACTCGGCTCTACCTTGCACATCTGGGACCCCAGGGCGGGGGGGGGTCCACTCGGCTCTACCTTGCACACCTGGGACCCCAGGATCAGGGGCGGTACTCGGCTCTACCGTGCACACCTGGGACCCCAGGATCAGGGGCGGTACTCGGCTCTACCGTGCACATCCGGGACCCCAGGGACAGGGGCAGCACTCGTCTCTACTGTGCACACCTGGGAGCCCAGGATCAGGGGCGGCACTCGGCTCTACCGTGCACACCTGGGACCCCAGGGTCAGGGGCAGCACTCGGCTCTACCGTGCACACCTGGGACCCCAGGATCAGGGGCGGCACTCGGCTCTACCGTGCACACCTGGGAGCCCAGGCTCGCTCTTCCTCTCCTTTTCTTGCTTCTCGATTCTGGACTTGAGCTGCTCGATCTCCCCGCGCAGCTGGGAGATGACGTCCGTGTACTGCGCGATGTGGTAGGACACGTTCAGCAGGTTGCGCTTGACCTGGCGGGGCAGCGGGCATGGGCGTCAGGGCTGAGCACACACTGGGGGCACCGACACCCGGAGCCGCAAACACATGTCTGCTATGAAAGCCGAAGTCTGTCGTAGGCAGCCGTGGAAAGGGAGGGAACCCGGAGGACATGGACAGGGCCAGGCCAGGCCCAGAAGGAGGCGGGCTGTGGGTCCCACTGCTGTGAGTGCCCAGAGCTCAGGCTCCTAGAGACGGGGGTCTCATCGGGAAGGCGAGAACGTTCTGGGGCTGGTGGTGACGGGGCACAACACCGTGAGTGCCTAATGCCGTTGAAACACGCACCTAGAAACGGTCAAGAGGGTGACTTCCCATTACGTGAATTCTAGCAGCACACAAAGACCCAAACAACCCGTGCGGGCCGCCGCGCGCTCGCTGTGGGCCTGCCCTCCACATCTGTCTCAGCACGGTCCTGCCCGTCTGCGCCACCGAGACAGCTGTGCTGTGTCTGCGGCGGGCTTTGGCGTTCCTGTAACTGGCACCTGTTTATCTGTGTGAGTTCACGCTCACACCCAGTCCCTCAGCCCGCTGCGAGGCCTGGAGCTGTGGGAGCAGAGACCCCGCCGTTTTTCTCTGTTAGTAGCTGGTGCCTAGCTCAGAGAGGAGTAGGGAGGGCCAGTGGTTTGCTGACGAACACAGCACCACTGTGGCATGGTGCTCACAGGCTGTGTCCAGTCACCATGTCCAGTACTAAGCAGCCAGTGGGCACCATCTCACGAGTGACCTACCCTTCAGATGGGGGCAGCAGTGCAGACAGCCCGGCACAGCGGGGTAGGCCTGGGCCCTGGAGCCAGGGGCTCTGGCCCCAACACCAGCTGGAGAAGTGACCTTGTCTCCCCCACCACAGCCAGTCTGCTCTTTGCTAACGTGAGCAAGGACCCTAAAATGCGATCATCTGGGATAGGCCCTAACCCACGGCCAGGTGTCCCTATCGGGGAAGAGGGAATGTTGAAGACAGGCAGGGCCAGAGGGACGCGGACACAAGGCAAGGACGAGGTGGGAGGACCCTCCCTGACAGCGTTGGAGGGTGTGTGGCCCTGCGCCCCTCCCCCAGTGTGCAGGCGCTGGGACGCAGAAGGCAGGGACGCGGGGCTGCTGGCACTTCCACCCTCCGTCTCAGAGACGATGAGACTGGGGCACAGAGGGCTCACGCGCGCAGGCAGCGCCTCCCAGCTGGAGCTCAGAGCAGGGGCAGACCCAGCCGTCCGTCTCAGGGTGTGTGCTCAGCACCCACCCCACAGCCCCTGGAGTGAGCCAGGGACCTAGTGGGTGAGGGAGTGACGAGCCAGCCACCGAGGGAGCGGGCGAGGGTGCAGCCGGCGCAGGAGGCTCACCCTGGTCTTGATGTTCTTGGCCCTGTAGGCGTAGAGCAGCGTGGTCCGTGACTCCTCGAAGCAGGTACTGGCCGGGCTGATGTGGGCGATCATGACGGTGTGGCTGTTCCCACCCAAGGCGTCCTGTTCTGGGGAAGTCTCTGAGCTGTGGGGGTGGGAGCTGCGCCACCCCCCACTCATCACCAGACAGCAGGGTTCCTGCCCCCACCTTGGGAAGGGCAGCTGATGCCAGAACCCAGGGCCCTCAGCTCTGGGCGCCATCACTGACTTGTAGAGGGGCAGGGCAGATCAGGCCCAGGGTTCGAACGCACCGAGACGTTTACCCGCGGCTGTTTGCCTCTGCGCCCCGCCCTGCCGCACAGTGGAGGTGTCAAGAGGGATTTCCCACATCAGAGCCACCCGCGGAGGGACGGGCGGCCTGGGGGAGGTGGTGAGCTCCCGAGGCCGCCCCGCTCGGCGGGATGCTCGGCGGCACCCACCTTCAGCAGGCGCGTGAGCTTGCTGTCGCGGAAGTTCACGTACTGCGCACGGCCGCCGCCCTTCTCGCTGAGCGCGTTGATGCAGTTGCCCAGAGCCAGCAGAGAACGGTTGATGTGGGCGCCCTCCTTCATCCTTTTGCCTCGGTTCTGGGTCTGCAGGGGGAGAGGCCGGGCGGCTCGGTCCTTCCCGCGCCAGCTTGGTGGGTGAGGCCCACAGACAGAATCCGCGTCCCTCCCGGGCGACGAGGGGGACCGAGGCTGGGCCTGGCACGCGCTGGTGACACCCAGGAGACAGGAGTGACACGGGATTCTGTGGGCCAGGGTTCTGCTGAGACCCAGCCGGCTGCTAAACGAGGTGCGAGCCGCTCCAGAGAAGCCCACGCAGGATAAAATGCGAGAGCAGGCCTTCCACGCCAGAGGGGCCCTCCCCCTGCCGGGAAGCGTCCTTCTCCTGCAGGAGGCCAATCTAGGGGGCACCTGAGGCTCCTGCCCGTCCGACTGCATCCTGCCACTTCCTGCCCGCCTCCCGCTGCCCTGCTGCCCAGCAGTGTGCACTCCGTCAGGGCGGCCGTGGCGCTCGCTGGCCGTGTGTCCCTGGTGGCGAGCCTCCCCACCCCCTTCCCCGCTCTGTACGTCTGAAACAAGAACGGCAGCGCTGATGCTCTCTTGCTGAGGGCGGCTAGCAGGGTCAGCGGGCGTGGCTGAGAGCAGCCTGCACTGCCTCTGGCGGCCAGCCCCCCAGTCCTGGGCTGCGCTTCCTGCCCGTCTCAGCCTCCCAGGGCAAGGTAGAGGGCTTCAGGGGTGCGAGGGAGGAGGCCTCCACTTTTATCAAGTGGGAGCCCGTGGAGGCAGACTCGCTCGGCCGGTGTGCCCAGGGCTGGGGCAGCACACACCTTGTGTGCCTGTGTCACGGAGCCAGGGGCTTTCTTGGCAAGTGACTTTCTGTGCAGAAATGACACGTGTGAGAGAGAAGGGGCCTTCAGACAACCTACCCAGGCCACTGGTGAGCACTGAAAATGCCGAGACTGAGAGGCGCGGTGGCACCAGCACAGCAAGGCGGCCTCAGGGCCCGAACCCGGTCCAGTGCCAGCTTTCACAGCCAAGCCCAAGAGTGGCAGGGCTCCACACAGCCCCCAAGGGCAGGGCCTTGCCCAGCCGGGACAGTCCGGGCTGCTGGCCCCGGCCCAGGACCCCAGAATCATCTCCATTTCACTCAGCTTTGTGGGAAGCCACCTGCACCCACATCCGTCCATGTGCTGGTCATGTCTCTGTCGGAGGCCCTGGCACCTGGAGGACTCTATGACCCTGACCCTGGGGTTAGCCAGTTCCTGGAGACAGCGGATGTCTCACCTGTGCACACATATTTCACCTACAGCCACATCCCCAAAAGCCCAGAGCCCACTCCCCAGTCAGTCCCTAAATGTGGCTCTCGTGTTCTGGCCACTGTCCACCTGCCCTAATCACCCAGAGCCAGTACAGGCACCCAGGGCCAACCCTGGGCCCAGAGCCCCTAAGGGTCTTCAAACAGCCAACTCCACACCCACCCACTGCCTCCAGGTCCTGCCCTGGAAACCCATGTTCCCCTTGCTTCCCCGCCCCCGCTGGCCCTGGCACTTCCCCGGGGGGCCTGCATGGCGAGCTCCGCCCCTCCCCCGGGAGTTGCGATGGCCATGTTTTCAATGGAGGTTGTTCCCTGACCCCCACAGTTTGCTCACTACTCATCTTCTGTTATTTTACAACAGCCTGCAGCTGGTCAGCCAGCTCTGCCGGTCACGCGGCGCGGGCAGCCAGGGCGGGGCTGGGCACCGGGTGGGAGTGAGTGAGCGAGCAAGCGAAGGAGGAGACTTGGTGGTCACTCAAGCCTCTGGCTGCGGCCAGACCTGCCGGCTTCCCAGCTCCGATGGCCCGCCCGAGATCTCCGTGCACAGCCAGTCGCTGTGTCGCCACGGGGTCACACGGGCGTGAGGCCGCCTGTGAGTGTTCCGTGCCTGGTGCGCTGCAGGGTATGGGGACTGCCTCGTGCTTGTATTACTGCTGTTCTCACACAGCCCAGCCGGGTCCTTGTCCCCAAGGAACGCTCAGGCACCGGGCAGCCGCCAGGGAGCCCAGTGACCACGTCCCCGACAGGAGCAGCAAAGGACAGAGGAGCCGGGGCCTGGAGGGGAGGGCGGGGGGCTGGCTCCCCAGCAGCCACTGTGCTGTCAGCCAGCAGCCTGAGCCATCCTCCTCACAGCCATGCTCTGCGCACCTGGCTCCCTGCCCCAAATGCCCGCCCAGCCTCAGCCCAGAGACCCCGCCCCCCGGACTTGCACAGCCTCAGCACAGCTGAGACAAAGCTCACGCCTCTGGAGCCCTAGCCACTGGCCCACGTGTGGTCCCGCAGGTACACTGAGCTCCCCAGTGAGTGTGGGTGCAGCCCGCCCCTGGGCATGCCCTGCACCCACGCACGCCCGCTTGCTGGCTTCCTCATCCCCAAGCTGGGTGCTCTTCTGGGTCCTACTCACGGACTCAAGGGGTGACCACTGCCGAGTGAGTGGCCACAGGGCATCTGAAAGGGTGGGGAGGCACGTGGGGGGCAGGCACCTGGGCCGCCCGCTCCGAGCCCGCCAGGTCCACCATGAAGAGCCTCCCGACGCACACTTCCTCCGCCAGGTCCGCGCCACGGCTCCGCTGGTGCACGGTGACCTGCAGCACCGCGTGGGAGCGGGACGATGTCCTGTTGGTGGCCGTGGGCTCCTGCGTGCGCTGCCGGTTGCCTTTGGTGAGGAGCTGCATGATCTAAGGACAGAGCAGAGTGGGCCAGCCGTCACGGAGACGGAGGCTGGGGCCAGGAGTGCTCCATGTCTACCCATGGAGCAGGAATGCCAGACACCCTGACTGTGTTCTCCTCCCGCCACCAGTGGCAGACATCACCAGTGGATTGCCCACCTCTTCTCCGTGAAGCTCTGAGCAGTCCCCCCCACCCAGGACTTCTCTATAGGCAGCCAGAACGGCGTGTGGGAGCTGGTGGGGGCTGAAACCCGTGTGCGGTGCAGCTGTGGAATGAAGTCAACGAGGCCCCCTGGGCACCCACTGTGTACCACACTCTGCCAGAAGGCAGAGCACAGGTGGAGAGAAGACTGACAGAGTCGCTGTTAAGGCCACCCCCAGCCCAAGCCCACGAGAGACAAAGCCAAGGGCCTGTGCGTCCCGGCACCTGGGCCAGGACGGCGGAGCACGCGGCCAGGGAGGGCTGAGGAGGAAGAGCCGGGACGACTCTGGAGGCCAGAGGAGCCACGGGAGATTTTCTCGGCAGACAGGAGGCCACCCCATGGCAGTGTTGAGCCTGGGCCGGTGGAGGCCAGAGGTGGCTGCAGAAACACGTACAGCTTGTCTGCTAAAGGAGTGATCGTCACGAGCAGGGGTGGCAAATGGATTTCAGACCCGAGCCACCTCTGATGGGCTGTGGCCACCTTGGGCGCTGGGTTGAAAAGGCTCCCAGACAGCCCCTGGAGTCGGAGGGAGGAGTGTGTTGTCGATTAGTGATGTCTGCCCTGAGCACTGGCCAGGCAGGCAGAGACACAGGCGCAGGTGCCTGGCACCCTCTTAGTCCAAGTCCAGACGTTTGGAGACCAGAGGCCATGGGTTTGTCCCTGCTCAGCAGACTCCAGCAAGGGGGGTTCTAAGCTCAGGTGTGTGTGGCGACCACGGCCTGGCGCCCACCTCCTGGGCGTTTGAGGTGGAGACCTCCGTGACACCTGCGATCTGGATGCTGCCCCTGGCGTCTTCTCTCAGGTCCAGAAACCCAGAGGACGGGTTCAGGAGGTCCCGGATCACTTCGTTGTAGATCTGCAGTAAAGCAGGAAGGTTAGGAACGAGGCTCACCGGCGTGAAGGAGCCACAGGGAACCTCAGCCCTGAGGGTGACACGCAGTGCCCAGGGCATCCCGCCCCCAGCTGCCCGGGGCACAGCACGCCCGTCCTGCGGTCCAGACCCCGGGCCAGGAGGGCGGGCTCACCTCAAAGTAGGACATGGACACACTGCAGTCAGTGACATCGCGGGTCCCCTCGATGGCCTCGAAGAGGTCAGTGAGGGTCTGCAGGTAGATGCCGGGCTCCGCGTCCATGCCCAGCATGGTGTGCGTCTTCCCGGCACCTGCGGGAGGAGTGAGATACCCCCTGCCTGGGACGAGAGCCAGTGGGCAGCAGGTGCCCTGAGCTGCTAGAGTTGCACGACCCCAGCCCCACTCCCACTCGGGGACCTGCCCTGGATGGTACCTGAGGGGCCATAGGCAAACACCGTGGCGTTGTACCCAGAGATGATGCCTTCTACCAGACGCTGGGTGGTGGCACAGTACACTTCCTCCTGTGGACGGATGGGGGACAGTCACACGGACAGCCCAGGCTGAGTCACGGAGGACAGTGGGTGGTGCCTGCTGTACCGTCCGTCCCCTCTGGACGCGCACAGGGATGCACACGGACAGGGCTACAAGAGCGTGGGCACCGACCATCCCTGGGTTCCACGCTCAGTCCTGCAGCCGCAGCTTTGGGTGCACTGCCCCTGCCACGCCGAGCCTCGCAGGGTACTTTGAGGCAGAATCACGCAGGAAAGTGCTGAACAGCCCCGCTGAGGCCTGGTGCGTGTGAGGCACTCAACACACGCGAGCCTATTCTAGGGCTCCCACAGGGATGGAGACCGAAGAGGGAAGGGCTAGAGGGTGCCAACAGGGTGGGAGTCCGTGATGGCAACAAGACTGCTTGTCATGGGGCACGACTGGGACCAGGGACAGAAGCTTCAGCCTGGCACAATGTGAGTGGAGGCAGCAAGAGACAGTGGTGGGAGCGTGCAAGAGCAGTGAGCACCCTGTGCACAGGACCCCAGGGCTGGTGTGAGAGCAGTGAGCGCCCAGTGCACAGGACCCCAGGGCTGGTGTGAGAGCAGTGAGCGCCCAGTGCACAGGCCCCCAGGGCTGGTGTGAGAGCAGTGAGCGCCCAGTGCACGGGACCCCAGGGCTGGTGTGTGAGTGAGAGCAGTGAGTGCCCAGTGCACAGGACCCCAGGGCTGGTGTGTGAGTGAGAGCAGTGAGTGCCCAGTGCACAGGAACCCAGGGCTGGTGTGAGAGCAGTGAGCGCCCAGTGCACAGGACCCCAGGGCTGGTGTGAGAGCAGTAAGTGCCCAGTGCACAGGACCCCAGGGCTGGTGTGTGAGTGAGAGCAGTGAGCGCCCAGTGCACAGGACCCCAGGGCTGGTGTGTGAGTGTGCAAGAGCAGTGAGTGCCCAGTGCACAGGACCCCAGGGCTGGTGTGAGAGCAGTGAGCGCCCAGTGCACAGGACCCCAGGGCTGGTGTGAGAGCAGTGAGCGCCCAGTGCACAGGAACCCAGGGCTGGTGTGAGAGCAGTGAGCGCCCAGTGCACAGGACCCCAGGGCTGGTGTGAGAGCAGTGAGCACCCAGTGCACAGGACCCCAGGGCTGGTGTGTGAGTGAGAGCAGTGAGCGCCCAGTGCACAGGACCCCAGGGCTGGTGTGTGAGTGAGAGCAGTAAGTGCCCAGTGCACGGGACCCCAGGGCTGGTGTGTGAGTGTGAGAGCAGTGAGTGCCCTGTGCACAGGACCCCAGGGCTGGTGTGTGAGTGAGAGCAGTGAGTGCCCAGTGCACAGGACCCCAGGGCTGGTGTGAGAGCAGTGAGCACCCAGTGCACAGGACCCCAGGGCTGGTGTGTGAGTGTGAGAGCAGTGAGTGCCCTGTGCACAGGACCCCAGGGCTGGTGTGAGAGCAGTGAGCGCCCAGTGCACGGGACCCCAGGGCTGGTGTGTGTGTGAGAGCAGTGAGTGCCCAGTGCACAGGACCCCAGGGCTGGTGTGAGAGCAGTGAGCGCCCAGTGCACAGGACCCCAGGGCTGGTGTGAGAGCAGTGAGTGCCCAGTGCACAGGACCCCAGGGCTGGTGTGTGAGTGAGAGCAGTGAGTGCCCAGTGCACAGGAACCCAGGGCTGGTGTGAGAGCAGTGAGCGCCCAGTGCACAGGACCCCAGGGCTGGTGTGAGAGCAGTGAGTGCCCAGTGCACAGGACCCCAGGGCTGGTGTGTGAGTGAGAGCAGTGAGCGCCCAGTGCACAGGACCCCAGGGCTGGTGTGTGAGTGTGCAAGAGCAGTGAGTGCCCAGTGCACAGGACCCCAGGGCTGGTGTGAGAGCAGTGAGCGCCCAGTGCACAGGACCCCAGGGCTGGTGTGTGAGAGCAGTGAGCACCCAGTGCACGGGACCCCAGGGCTGGTGTGTGAGTGAGAGCAGTGAGCGCCCAGTGCACGGGACCCCAGGGCTGGTGTGTGAGTGTGCAAGAGCAGTGAGTGCCCAGTGCACAGGACCCCAGGGCTGGTGTGTGAGTGAGAGCAGTGAGCGCCCAGTGCACAGGACCCCAGGGCTGGTGTGAGAGCAGTGAGCGCCCAGTGCACAGGACCCCAGGGCTGGTGTGTGAGTGAGAGCAGTGAGTGCCCAGTGCACAGGACCCCAGGGCTGGTGTGTGAGTGAGAGCAGTGAGCGCCCAGTGCACGGGACCCCAGGGCTGGTGTGTGAGTGAGAGCAGTGAGCGCCCAGTGCACAGGACCCCAGGGCTGGTGTGTGAGTGTGCAAGAGCAGTGAGCGCCCTGTGCACAGGACCCCAGGGCTGGTGTGTGAGTGAGAGCAGTGAGCGCCCAGTGCACGGGACCCCAGGGCTGGTGTGTGAGAGCAGTGAGCGCCCAGTGCACAGGACCCCAGGGCTGGTGTGAGAGCAGTGAGCGCCCAGTGCACAGGACCCCAGGGCTGGTGTGAGAGCAGTGAGCGCCCAGTGCACAGGACCCCAGGGCTGGGTGTGAGAGCAGTGAGTGCCCAGTGCACGGGACCCCAGGGCTGGTGTGTGAGTGAGAGCAGTGAGTGCCCAGTGCACGGGACCCCAGGGCTGGTGTGTGAGAGCAGTTAGCACCCTGTGCACAGGACCCGAGGGCTGGTGTGTGAGTGTGCAAGAGCAGTGAGCGCCCTGTGCACAGGACCCCAGGGCTGGTGTGTGAGTGAGAGCAGTGAGCGCCCAGTGCACGGGACCCCAGGGCTGGTGTGTGAGAGCAGTGAGCGCCCAGTGCACAGGACCCCAGGGCTGGTGTGAGAGCAGTGAGCGCCCAGTGCACAGGACCCCAGGGCTGGTGTGAGAGCAGTGAGCGCCCAGTGCACAGGACCCCAGGGCTGGTGTGTGAGAGCAGTGAGTGCCCAGTGCACGGGACCCCAGGGCTGGTGTGTGAGTGAGAGCAGTGAGTGCCCAGTGCACGGGACCCCAGGGCTGGTGTGTGAGAGCAGTTAGCACCCTGTGCACAGGACCCGAGGGCTGGTGTGTGAGTGTGCAAGAGCAGTGAGCACCCTGTGCACGGGACCCGAGGGCTGGTGTGTGAGTGAGAGCAGTGAGCGCCCAGTGCACGGGACCCCAGGGCTGGTGAGTGAGTGAGAGCAGTGAGCGCCCAGTGCACAGGACCCCAGGGCTGGTGTGTGAGTGTGCAAGAGCAGTGAGCGCCCAGTGCACGGGACCCCAGGGCTGGTGTGTGAGTGAGAGCAGTGAGCGCCCAGTGCACAGGACCCCAGGGCTGGTGTGTGAGTGTGCAAGAGCAGTGAGTGCCCAGTGCACAGGACCCCAGGGCTGGAGTGAGAGCAGTGAGCGCCCAGTGCACAGGACCCCAGGGCTGGTGTGTGAGAGCAGTGAGCACCCAGTGCACAGGACCCCAGGGCTGGTGTGAGAGCAGTGAGCACCCAGTGCACGGGACCCCAGGGCTGGTGTGTGATGAGAGCAGTGAGCGCCCAGTGCACAGGACCCCAGGGCTGGTGTGTGAGTGAGAGCAGTGAGTGCCCAGTGCACAGGACCCCAGGGCTGGTGTGAGAGCAGTGAGCGCCCAGTGCACAGGACCCCAGGGCTGGTGTGTGAGTGAGAGCAGTAAGTGCCCAGTGCACGGGACCCCAGGGCTGGTGTGTGAGTGTGAGAGCAGTGAGTGCCCTGTGCACAGGACCCCAGGGCTGGTGTGTGAGTGAGAGCAGTGAGTGCCCAGTGCACAGGACCCCAGGGCTGGTGTGAGAGCAGTGAGCACCCAGTGCACAGGACCCCAGGGCTGGTGTGTGAGTGTGAGAGCAGTGAGTGCCCTGTGCACAGGACCCCAGGGCTGGTGTGAGAGCAGTGAGCGCCCAGTGCACGGGACCCCAGGGCTGGTGTGTGTGTGAGAGCAGTGAGTGCCCAGTGCACAGGACCCCAGGGCTGGTGTGAGAGCAGTGAGCGCCCAGTGCACAGGACCCCAGGGCTGGTGTGAGAGCAGTGAGTGCCCAGTGCACAGGACCCCAGGGCTGGTGTGTGAGTGAGAGCAGTGAGTGCCCAGTGCACAGGAACCCAGGGCTGGTGTGAGAGCAGTGAGCGCCCAGTGCACAGGACCCCAGGGCTGGTGTGAGAGCAGTGAGTGCCCAGTGCACAGGACCCCAGGGCTGGTGTGTGAGTGAGAGCAGTGAGCGCCCAGTGCACAGGACCCCAGGGCTGGTGTGTGAGTGTGCAAGAGCAGTGAGTGCCCAGTGCACAGGACCCCAGGGCTGGTGTGAGAGCAGTGAGCGCCCAGTGCACAGGACCCCAGGGCTGGTGTGTGAGAGCAGTGAGCACCCAGTGCACGGGACCCCAGGGCTGGTGTGTGAGTGAGAGCAGTGAGCGCCCAGTGCACGGGACCCCAGGGCTGGTGTGTGAGTGTGCAAGAGCAGTGAGTGCCCAGTGCACAGGACCCCAGGGCTGGTGTGTGAGTGAGAGCAGTGAGCGCCCAGTGCACAGGACCCCAGGGCTGGTGTGAGAGCAGTGAGCGCCCAGTGCACAGGACCCCAGGGCTGGTGTGTGAGTGAGAGCAGTGAGTGCCCAGTGCACAGGACCCCAGGGCTGGTGTGTGAGTGAGAGCAGTGAGCGCCCAGTGCACGGGACCCCAGGGCTGGTGTGTGAGTGAGAGCAGTGAGCGCCCAGTGCACAGGACCCCAGGGCTGGTGTGTGAGTGTGCAAGAGCAGTGAGCGCCCTGTGCACAGGACCCCAGGGCTGGTGTGTGAGTGAGAGCAGTGAGCGCCCAGTGCACGGGACCCCAGGGCTGGTGTGTGAGAGCAGTGAGCGCCCAGTGCACAGGACCCCAGGGCTGGTGTGAGAGCAGTGAGCGCCCAGTGCACAGGACCCCAGGGCTGGTGTGAGAGCAGTGAGCGCCCAGTGCACAGGACCCCAGGGCTGGTGTGTGAGAGCAGTGAGTGCCCAGTGCACGGGACCCCAGGGCTGGTGTGTGAGTGAGAGCAGTGAGTGCCCAGTGCACGGGACCCCAGGGCTGGTGTGTGAGAGCAGTTAGCACCCTGTGCACAGGACCCGAGGGCTGGTGTGTGAGTGTGCAAGAGCAGTGAGCACCCTGTGCACGGGACCCGAGGGCTGGTGTGTGAGTGAGAGCAGTGAGCGCCCAGTGCACGGGACCCCAGGGCTGGTGAGTGAGTGAGAGCAGTGAGCGCCCAGTGCACAGGACCCCAGGGCTGGTGTGTGAGTGTGCAAGAGCAGTGAGCGCCCAGTGCACGGGACCCCAGGGCTGGTGTGTGAGTGAGAGCAGTGAGCGCCCAGTGCACAGGACCCCAGGGCTGGTGTGTGAGTGTGCAAGAGCAGTGAGTGCCCAGTGCACAGGACCCCAGGGCTGGAGTGAGAGCAGTGAGCGCCCAGTGCACAGGACCCCAGGGCTGGTGTGTGAGAGCAGTGAGCACCCAGTGCACAGGACCCCAGGGCTGGTGTGAGAGCAGTGAGCACCCAGTGCACGGGACCCCAGGGCTGGTGTGTGATGAGAGCAGTGAGCGCCCAGTGCACAGGACCCCAGGGCTGGTGTGTGAGTGAGAGCAGTGAGTGCCCAGTGCACAGGACCCCAGGGCTGGTGTGAGAGCAGTGAGCGCCCAGTGCACAGGACCCCAGGGCTGGTGTGTGAGTGTGCAAGAGCAGTGAGTGCCCAGTGCACAGGACCCCAGGGCTGGTGTGAGAGCAGTGAGCGCCCAGTGCACAGGACCCCAGGGCTGGTGTGTGAGTGTGCAAGAGCAGTGAGTGCCCAGTGCACAGGACCCCAGGGCTGGTGTGAGAGCAGTGAGCGCCCAGTGCACAGGACCCCAGGGCTGGTGTGAGAGCAGTGAGTGCCCTGTGCACAGGACCCCAGGGCTGGTGTGAGAGTGAGAGCAGTGAGCGCCCAGTGCACGGGACCCCAGGGCTGGTGTGTGAGTGTGAGAGCAGTGAGTGCCCTGTGCACAGGACCCCAGGGCTGGTGAGTGAGTGAGAGCAGTGAGCGCCCAGTGCACGGGATCCCAGGGCTGGTGTGTGAGTGTGTAAGAGCAGTGAGCACCCAGTGCACGGGACCCCAGGGCCAGTGTGTGAGTGAGAGCAGTGAGCGCCCAGTGCACAGGACCCCAGGGCTGGTGTGTGAGTGTGCAAGAGCAGTGAGCGCCCAGTGCACGGGACCCCAGGGCTGGTGTGTGAGTGAGAGCAGTGAGCACCCAGTGCACAGGACCCCAGGGCTGGTGTGTGAGTGAGAGCAGTGAGCGCCCAGTGCACAGGACCCCAGGGCTGGTGTGTGAGTGTGCAAGAGCAGTGAGCGCCCAGTGCACAGGACCCCAGGGCTGGTGTGTGAGAGCAGTGAGCACCCAGTGCACAGGACCCCAGGGCTGGTGTGTGAGAGCAGTGAGCGCCCAGTGCACAGGACCCCAGGGCTGGTGTGTGAGTGTGCAAGAGCAGTGAGCGCCCAGTGCACAGGACCCCAGGGCTGGTGTGTGAGTGAGAGCAGTGAGTGCCCAGTGCACAGGACCCCAGGGCTGGTGAGTGAGTGTGAGAGCAGTGAGCGCCCAGTGCACAGGACCCCAGGGCTGGTGTGTGAGTGAGAGCAGTGAGCGCCCAGTGCACAGGACCCCAGGGCTGGTGTGAGAGTGAGAGCAGTGAGCACCCTGCGCACAGGACCCCAGGGCCGGTGTGTGAGGTGTGGCTGTACTTCCTGGGTCCCCATCCCAGGTCCTGCTCTCCATCTCAACTAACTGCTCCGTGGGCCTGGCTGGCGGGTGATGCAGCTTCTCCGAGCTTGGAATCAGAGGTATGGGGCCAGGGTCAGTCATTTGGGAGTAGGAGTTGCAGTTAAGTGTGGGGTTCTGTGTCCTTCCCTGGGCTTTGTCTTTGCTAAGCAGGCCTTAGATGAAACAATCCCCTGCAGGCAGCCTGGGCCCCAGCCCCACCTGCCCAGGTCAGGTGCGTGTCCTCCACTTGCCCCACCTCGATGGGAGCAGGGTCCCCACAGTGAGGGTCAGGTGGCAGGTGGGACAGCGTCCTGCCCTTGGGTGGGTGCTGGTCCTGACACCAGCCCTGGGCCTCACTGAGTGGCCTCCCGCAGGTCCTTCGCCTGTGACAACACAGCTCGGCCAGAGCCCCTCCCTCGCCTGCTCTTCAGGCAGGCAGAAGGGCCCTCAGCGGCCACCACAGGCCCCGGGAGCCTCAGGCTGGCACCGCCACAGCATGCATTCATGGCACACCCCTCTCCACGGGCTCCCTGACTGGGTTACAGGCAGTGTGGGCATCGCCTTGTCCAGCGAAGAAATGAGAAGGCCCTCGCCAGGCCGCCAGTGGGCCCCTGTGCCCACTGAGCCACCTGCTACCCATAGGCCCGTGATGGGTCTTTGCCCACAACCTCCTGGTTCCTTGGAGAGGCCCCGAGCAAAGACCGGGATGAGGCCACCTGGCTGTGAAGTCCTCCCAAGGTGTGCCCAGCCCCACCGGGCAGGGAGGGGACGGGTGGGCACCTGGGAGGCGTGCTGGTCAAACACGGTGTCGAAGATGAAGGTGCGCTCCCGGGACCGGTGGGCACGCAGTGGGTCCTCAGCGTCCTCACTGGGGTCCGTGAGCACCAGCACCTGCGGGCAACGTGTGGCAAAGGAGGGGCAACGCGTGCTCAGGGCCTGCGAGCCCCAGATGGGCTCCCGCCGTGACCACAGCCGGGCTTGGCCGGGCTCTGAGAAGGGCTGCAGGCCAGGAGTTCCAGGGAACCCCACCACCCCTCTCCGCCCGCTTTCTGGAGTCAGCATCTCCCACAGCTGCAGCCCAGTACCCAGGTCCACACCCACTGCAGACAGCAGCCTCGTGCTGGGGTGACAACCCCTTCCTGCTCTGCACAAGGGCACGGTGACCGCCCCAGTCCGGCATGTCCCGCCCTGACGAACCCCGCAGCCTGCCGGGAGGGGCTGCCTGCTACTGAGGACGCTGGGTGCGTGAGACGCCCAGGAAAGGCACAGCCCTGCCCCCTCTATTCCTCTGAGGCTGGCTGGCCCCAGGGCCTCTGATCTCACATAAATACATCATTAGAAGCAGAGAGTACCAGTGACCTGGGTCACAGGGTCGAAGGAGCCCTTCCCAGGGAACGAAGTGGGGCGTGAGGCTATCAGGAGCCCAGCAGCCTGACTGGGGGCCGACCTCGGGGTCAGGGCACCCACAGTGTGGAGTCCAAGGGGGTGCAGCTGGAGCCCTGCACAACCCTCCCTTGGTTCACAGCTTTGGAAACGGAGGTCCCTGGAGACAGGAGCCTGCCTGAGGTTCTTGGGGAGCCAGTGGAGGGGGCGGGGCCAGGTCCCCGGGGCCGCTCCTGGCTCCTGCCCAGCACTTGCCCCATGACACAGCCTGACTCTCCCATCGCTGTCTCCTGCTGCAGAGTCAGGAACAAAGGAGGGGGCAAGTGGGGAGCTCCCCTACACAGCCCCTGTGCTCCTGGCCTCCCAGCCCCGGCTCCCACTGTCCACCAGCTGGGAGGCTTTGGACGGGCTTCCTCCACTCCCTGGGCCTGGGCTTTCTCCTCTGCGAGACGGAGGTGATAAAGAACACACCTGCAGCAGCAGCCCTGGGCGGGAAGCAAGGTAACACGCCCCGCCGGCCAGGGCGCTCCCGGGCCGGTGTTGTCGTGCCGTGGGTTAAGCCACCGCCAGCATCCCACACGGGGCACCAGTCCCAGTCCTAGCTGCTCTGTTTCTGACCTAGCTCCCTCCTGATGTGTCTGCAAAGGCAGCAGACGATGGGCCGGTGCTGGGACCCTGCCATCCACGTAGGAGGCCCAGATGGAGTTCCTGGCTCCTGGCTGCAGTCCAGTCCAGATCTGGCCACTGTGGGCATTTGGGGAGGGAACCAGCACGTAGGAGCTATCTTTCTGTCTCTCCCTCTCTCTTTCAAATAAATCTTTTACAAATAAAAAAAAAAAAAAAAAAAAAACCAGCTACACTGGATCGTGCACACAAACGTCTCCGCGGGTGACGAGAACATCACTGAGAAGCAGCACGGAGCCCCTGGCTCCTGTGTGTGCTGAGGTCGGACCCGGAGCCACTGCGCCTGAGAATGCTCGCTGAGTGCGGGCTGCCGAGGGCCCTCACTTGCCATCTACTCCAAGGGGCCTGGGGTAAGGAATCCACGTCCCTGGGGTAAGGAATCCACGTCCCTGGGGCAGGCAAGCACAACTGTGGTCTTAAGGGAAAACCTGGCACGAGGGCTCCTGGGCTGTAGGGTTCTGGAAACCTCTGGATCAGTCTGAAGCTACGCAGAGTAAAGAGAATAAAGTGTGAGCGCCACGTGATGGACATCAGACACGAGGGCCAGGTGCAGGGGCACCTGCTGTGAGGCCCCACTGGAGGGGACGACCAGGACGGACAGGGCCAGGAAGCAGAGGGGTGGCTGCCAGCAAGGGACGGGCGACAGAAGTGTTCACCCGTGTGGGAGACTCAGAGAAAGCTCCAGGCTCCTGGTTTCGTATGGCCATTGTGGCCAGTGAGCCAACCTCTCTCTCGCTCTCTCTCTCTGCCTCTGCCTCTCTGTAACTCAGCCTTTCAAATAAAGAAATAAGTAAATCTTGAAAAAAAAAAAAAAAAAACAGAAAGAATTAGAATCTGATGCAACGTGAAATGCACCCTGACTTGTAGAAACTTAGAAACACGAGCTGCGTGCATGAAGCTGACAGCAGGCCCCAGCCACTCCCAGCTGCCCGACCTCAGCCCAGTCCCTGCAGTGCCCACGCCCAGCCTCCCAGGACGGCTCACGCCTCTCGTCAGACCCACACTCAGCTTTCCCACTACGCCCACGTGGGCGCGTCACAGGGCCACATCCTTTCCCCCAAAACCACCCCCTCCCTCCTTTGCTCCTGTCCTGGGAGCTCGGCACCTTCGCCCTGTCCCCCACGCCAGCTGCCCCAGACACTGTCCACTGCCTCTTGTCCCGGGCTGCTGGTGCGGGCCTGGGGACCAGACTGCCCAGCCACCCTGCTCCGGGGTCTGCTCCAAGGTCACTGCCTCGGGCCCTTCTAGGCCCCTGTGACACTATCCCCACCCTAACAGTGAGTCGGGTGGTGGGGGCCCCAGTCCGTCACGGCTCTACCCCAGAACACGGCCTACCCAGGGCGTGAGCAAGGAGCGACTGACACAGCTAAGGCGCGCACAGCCTCACCTGCTCCCCCACTTTGTGAGCGATGACTGTGGCTCCCTCCTGCAGCTCTGCGTCACTGAGTGGACGGATTCGGAGCGCTACCTGCGGGCAGGACAGGGCAGCTGGGCCCAGGGGTCCCTCGATGGCCAGCCCCTTCCTCCAGCACAAGACTCCCAGCCCACGCTGGATGCCCGTCTGCATCCTCTCGCCAGTGCCCGCCGTCCCAACACCCGCTGCAGATGTTTAAGCAGCAGGCTTTGGAAGACCCTCTGCTGACGGTTCCCCTCATTCCAGGGCCGGGGAGCCCAGGGCACAGAGTAACCTATCTGGAGCACAGTGGCCGAGGGACCCGTGCGGCTACAGGGCCGTGAATCCAGCCCTAGCCCTCCCGACAGGTGGAGAGCAGTTCAGAGACTCCCGGGGCCAGCGCTGTAGCGTAGCGGGTAGAGCCGCTGTCTGTGCTGCCAGCACCCCATACAGGCACCAGATCATGTCACAGATGGGCACTTCCGAGCCAGCTCCCTGCTCATGGCCTGGGAAAAGCAGTGGAAAACAGCCCAAGTGTTTGGGCCCCCTGCCACCCAGGTGGGAGATCCAGGTCAAGCTTCTGGCAAAAACCTGGCTGCGGCCATGTGGGGAGTGAACCAGTGGGTGGGAGATTTCTCTCTCCCTCTAACTCTCTCAAATAAATAAATATTGAAACACTTAAAAAGGAGACTTTGCCTTGTATGCTGCTCCCCTATCCTGGGAGACCCCAGAAGGGACCCTCGCCCTCCCTCTCCCCTGAGACACGGAAGCTCCTCTGATGGAAACGGTAGCTTGGGGTCTGGGGCAATCTCCTGGCCGTGGTTCACCCCGCAGAAGGGTCTGGATGGGGGCCAGCCCCGGTCCAGGCTGACAGTCCCAGCAGAGGTGACGCTGGGTCCCAGGGAAGGAAGGTAGGGGTAGCCACGCTGGGGCCGGGATTGTGGGGGAAGGGCTGGCCCTAGCTGAGGGGCAGTGTCAGTGCTGCAGTCGGGGTGGAGGAAAGCAAAAGGGGGCTCACCACCAGCGGCTGGTCCTTGGGCTCCATCTCCCTCAAGGCTGGGCTGCCCCGGGCAGGGAGGGGCTGGCAGCCTGGCAGGACGGCATGCAGCTGGGACTGTGCTATCCTGGGAGAGGTGGAGGCAAGGAGACCTGTTCAGCATCGCGCCCGCCCCGCCCAGGTGACGTCAGCTGGGTCCGGGGGAGGGGGAAGGGGGCGGAGCCCGCACCAGGATCCAGTTCGCAAAACCAGCCTCGCCACTCATTTTCTCAGGGGCCGGAGACAGCCCACGTGGTACACATGGGTATCTGTGAGCAGGACACCCTCTGGGCCGTAGCATGCGCCACACTGCCCTCAGTCTATGTATTCCCCTTAGACCGCCCCTAGTCCACAGGGAGCCTGCCTGGAACCTGCCTCCATGGCAGAGGGCGGGGCTGCACCTGTCCCCTCTCCCACTTAGAGCCCAGGGGCCCCTTCATGCAAGGCAGGTCATGGTGGCCTTGGAGCTTCCCCACAAACACTAGCAACCACGCACAAAGCCAAAGCCCTGTCCAGAGCCACTGCAGGTCTGTCGGCGAGGGGGTTTCCTGCTTCAACGCTGCGCTCTTCCACTGCAAGCCCTGTGAGCTCGCCCAGCCACGGCAGGTGGTGCCAGCAGGCTGAGGCCATACAGGGCCACACGGCGCAGTGCCACGGCCCACGTGGAGCTCAGCGCGTGCTGGGTGCAGATCACACAAGGACGGGATCCTCGCGGTTCAAGCCTGACGAGTCCGATGGAACGACTCCAGGGAGCGCGGAAGGGCAGCAGAGCCCCAGGCACGCCAGGGCCAGGGTGGAGGCAGAGCCCGAGACCCAGTGACGCAGCCAAGGTCACAGCGGCCACGCCAGCCTCTGCCAGTCCCCGCGGCAGTCCCCGCGTCCGGCTGGGAACGCTTCTCTTCTCTGGCATCCAGGCTAGCACGGAGCTCCCCAAAACCCCTTCATGTGAGTAGGGCAAAGGTGGGGAGAACGCCTTCTCCGTCCCTGTCCCCTCCCCTCCCACTGAAGTGAGGGCTCCAGCCTCTGGCCTTGGCCCACAAGGAAACTGCTGGGGACCAACGCCAGCCTCCGGAGACAAGACCAGGAGGGCCAGGCACAGCCAAGGACCAAGCCCAGGCACAAGGGTCAGGAACCAGCCCAGAGCAGCCTGGGAAAGGCGGGAGTCAGAGCAGTGGTGGGAGTCTTTATTCGCGGTGACAAGTACAATGGGCAAATTCAAAGCAGTGCCAACCCTCCCAAGGCTGTTAAAACCTGCTCAAATGACAAGCATGTGCCTCTCCTTCTTCCTGCCAGAAACGGGGCGACCTGCCTTCCCACACTGGAGCTGAAGCCAACAGCGAGCACGCGGCGGCACTGCAGCCATCGGGTGGAGAAACAGCACGGACCACCTCCCAGCCCTGGGGAAACCGAGTCAGCTGCTTGCAGGTGGGAGGGGACCCCCGGCCCGGCCCCCTCCGCAAGGCTGCTTTTGTTTGGCTCCAGGTCCCAAGCCGTGAGAAGACCCCGCTCTGCTCTCAGCAGCTCAGAGGCCAGCGTTCAGGGCTTGTTAACAGTGGCTGGCTGACAGCTCTTGGTGCAAACGTGCCGTCCGACTGTGCGCACCGGTCTCGAGGGCTCTCGAGGGAACACAAGCATCTTCTCACAGCAAACAGCGTCAGGCTGACTGGATGCCTGGCTGGAAAGGCACAGGGCAGGGGCCACAGCCTGGCCACAAGCCAGCGTCGTGACGCCACGGGGACCTGACCACTGGGGGAGGGGGACGGGTATGGCGGGCAAGGCTGCCATGGGTGTGCAAAGACAGGAGAAAGACAGTTTTGCCATACAGGTTTGCTTTTATTTCCACGTTCAACCTGCTGAGAGCCTGCCCCAACCTGATCGTGGGGACAGGCCCGGTGCACGGCTCCCTCGCTGGTCTGCACGCTGGCCCTCGCACAGGACAGGAGTCCTCGAGCAGAAGCCTCAGTTGAGGATGGCACACCCTGGAAACACTGCCTCCAGGCTAAGCAGCAGATGTCGGAGGCATGGAGAAGAAGCCCCACAACGCAGGGACAAGTGGTGCCTCTCAGCCTCCCCACTCAAGACCCAGGGGTCTGAAGGCACAGAGCGTGTGGACACGGGGAGTCCGGGGCAGTCACGGTCCGGAGGGAGCACAGGCCACGGTGCAGGTGTTGCGCAGAGTTCCGCAGGAGGCGACCTCTGTCCTAGGCCAGACGGTGACAACACTGCAACACAGGAACCACCCTTGACTCTGTCCCTGACAGCAGCTGAGCAGCCAGGCCAGCCAAGTGCAGGACTAGAGGGCTAGCTGGAGGGCCGGGAAACCCGCTCTGCTCTGTGCAGCACCAGAGCCTTCAACACGTGGCCCACTCAAGCCAGTTGGGAGCCACTCCTGGCCCCGGGACCAGCAACCAAGTGACAACCGGGCACCAAAAAGTCACCTGGTGTCCCCACAGGGGCTGGAACATCTCCCGTCCCCGCTGTGGCACACACACACCTGCTGTCCTCGCACAGCGCCCACAGGGAGGGCTGGGATCCCGAGGGCCCTGCTGTCACAGCAGCTCCTGCACGCCCAGCACGCCTCCCCCAGCTTTGAAAGATGTCTCAGGCAGGCAGGGACTGCCCAGTGCTGGGAGGCCTGGCGGCTGGGTCAACCCTCTCTCATGCACTCCCACGCAGTCCACATTCAAGCCTTCTGGAAGGGGCAGGGATAAGCCCCTCCTCTCCCTGGACGCCGAGACCCGCCCAGGCCACAGCTGCCCTCTTAGCTGCTCAGACAGCAGCTCCACGCGCGCCCCAGGCAGGGCTCCACGCACCCCACACTTCCCTAACCCAGGCACCTGTAACTGGATATTGGCTTCTACCTTACACAGGCATTTTTTAAATTTAGGGGACAGAGCAGCTGCGACACTAGCAAGCCCCGGCGTGAAGTCAGCGCACCTGCCACGCGGCTCACTCCTGACTCCCCAGAGGAATGACTTCCTCAGTGACAAAGAACTCGATGGTCTCCTCCTCCCAGTCGTCCACGTTGCTGTCCAGCTCATCAGTGTCCACACCTGCAGAAAGGACGGGTTCCCTGTGGGGCAGACGCCGACAGTCGGCGGCCTCCAGGTCCCACATGTGGGCACACAAACCCATGGAGCCAGCCCAGGGCTGGGAGCCACGGGCGAGGCCCCCGCTGTGGACACCCATGTGCCTCGGGACAGGAAGAGGCCTCGGCGCTTGGACAGCACAAGGGATCCTCCTGTTACCTCCTCTCAACTCCAGACGCTCGTTTTTCTGTCCCACGTAGAGCTCTTGGGCCGCTTTCCGGTATTTTCTGAAGTCTTCCATCATGGCTCTCCTCCTCTCCACCAATTCCTGAGCAGATAGTGCAGTCAGAGTGACCACATGGCCCAATGCATGGCCACAGGAGCCCAGCCCACACCTGCCCACAACAGCACAGCCTCTGCGTTGGACGCTGGTGCCACGCTTCACTTTGTCCTCTTCTGCCACTGCCCCTTCTCCCCACCCACCCACAGTGGAGGCAGCCATGGCTGTAGCTACAGTCCGGTCAGTCCCACATGCCTGTGTACACATCTGCCTGTGGCTGCCAGCCTGTGGCCACAGGACATGCAGTGTCTGGGGACAAGCAGCCTCCTGCCCTCCCAAGCAGACACGACAGAACGCCCACCTCCGCAGTGCCCAAGTCCTGGGAACGAGACCGACCTTGGAAGCTTTGGATTGGCTCAGGCGGTCCTTCTGCTCAAAGATCTTTGAGTATTTCTTCAGATCCTTTTTAATTTGCTGAAACAAAAGACCAGTCAGTCAGGATTAGCATTCAAAGCAGAACCACAAAAGCCATCTTCAAAGTCACCAACACGGAATGACACCCCAGCAGCAGACGGAACACAGGCCCGAGTGCTCGCCCCGCCTCTCCAGGCCGCGCTGTCACAGCGGCCTGTCTTCCTGGGAATTACGCTCCCCTCTTAGCTGCGACCTAATACCCTAAGCCTATTTCCCCTAATTATGTAAATCCCAAATATGTCTCTTCTAATCCCTCCGGGAATTTGTAATACACTCTGGCATCTTTTCATCCACCCTTCCAGTCCATGCAAATTTGAAGTTTACTGTTTGAAAACTGCTCTTTTCTGTTTAGTTCTCAGTGACCGTGTAGCACGTTGGAGTCCCTGTGAACGCTGGTCTCCACCCCACAGCCTGGACCTGGTGCCGGCACACACCTTTATCTGCTCCTGGCTCAGGAGCGTCGGGGGCCGCGGCCTCCAGAGCAGCTGGCAGAAGCGGTCCTTGTTGTTCTTCTGCAGGAGGCGTCCTTGGAAGGTCCACAGCCAGTAAGCATTGTCCACCTAGAAGAGAGCCGTCGCCAGGCTGAGCTGCCCGTCCCTCCCCCGGCCAGTAAGCACTGTCCACCTAGAAGAGAGCCGTCACCAGGCTGAGCTGCCCCCACCCCCCGGCCAGCGGCACCAGAGCCAAGACCACGATCTTCGCGGTCGGCAGGGCCAGTGGCACCAAGAACACACTTGCCAACAATGCCCCAGGGCTCGCGTTCCATCAGTGAATGAAGCCGTGGCCCCAGCCTCTGCTGTCATTCCAGCCAGGCAAGGAGTGCCAGCAAAGACAAGACGGGGTGACTCACAGGGTGCTGGGCGCACGTGGAGACACCAGCGCCGCGCAAAGCATAGGCCTGTTACCCCTGGTCTGCCACGAGCAGCATGGGCCGGGACACAGAGCGCTCCATCACCAACCACACTGCTGAGTTCTGCTCACTTCTCTTTCTACAACGAAGCTTCCCAGAGGCAGTGCCTTGAAGCCCCCTTTGGCACAATCTCCTTATTGCAAACAAGCACTTGGGAAGCTAAGTGTTTGTATCTAAAACAGAGTGTGTCACTTTTTAATAAAAGCATCCTGACAGTCTCACTGTGGTGACATCTAAACAAGGTGGCCAATGCAGGGTGCTCAGCTCACCACACACAGCCACCCCAATTCACCTAGGGCCCTGTCTACCGGCACCCAGTCCAACACCCCACTCCTCCATCAGCCACCATCACCTCCAGACATGAAGCTCAGAGCTCCAGTACGGTAGCACCGAGTGCGTGCAGACTCTGGCCAGCCGGCATGCCCACCAGCACCGGACCTCTGGAGGCAGAGAAGTCAAACTCCCTAGGCGGGGACCTCCTGCTCCCCGACCACCCGACTCCTTGCAGGGGTCCCTGGCCCTAGGCGGACACAGCTCCTCCTGGCCGCCCGCCTCGTCTGCCACCCCGCCTCTTCCTGTATTCACGGCCGCCCACCTATTCTGTGCTACACACACAGAGGACAGCTTCAGTAAGCCAGGACTTGCTGATGAGATGGGGAGCTGAAGCCGGGCCTGGTAGCCGAGCCTGGCAGCGCCTGTACCTTGTGGCTCCACCAGGACACGGAGGTGACCACATAGCGCCCGGTCGGATCCCACTCCACGTCGGAGGCCATGTAGTGCTCTGCAATGTTCATGACCGTGCAGTCTGAGGTGTCGACGAACGCTAAGGCACCGTTCATGCTGTGGACGAACGTGACACAAGGGCATGATGGCGCGGTGACAGGCAGCGCCAGGGGGCAGCCACCGAAGCCCTGTGACCTCAGCTGCTCCCAGAATCACAAGACAGGCTGCACCTGCTGCCGCTCTGCGTCTTGTGGGGGCCAAGGCGCCTCCAGGCTGCAGGGGTGGATGGGCAGCAGGGGTGGGGAACCCTTTCTCCAGGGGCCGTTTGGGAATTTCTAACATTCGTGGGCCATAGGAAAGCAGCATCTTAAAACTAGCCAGCTGAGGATTCACTCAATTTCGAGTGCTGCCCGCAGCTGCCTTGGCAGGGCCAGACGACCCTTCCCCGGCCCCCCAGCCCAGCCCCGGTGTACAGTGAGGTGGGGCAGGCAGCAGAGGGCATCCTCTCCACCATGTACAAGCCTCACTGGAACGACAGGAAACGGGAGAGGCGAAACTGTGCTCTTGAATTCTCATCGTGACAATGGCCAGAGGGGACAGTCAAACCGCTACCTGCGGTCTGTTTTTCCTGCGAGAGCACACGTGGGAGAGGATGCCGGGCAGGACACCACAGGTGCAGGTCTGCAGGCCACGGAGGGTGACACCTGCGTGCCAGCACGGACCCTGCCTGCCCTCGGCCCGCACGCCGGAGCGTACAGACACTCCGCGCTGTGAGGGGACACAAGGACACCCCCACCTTTCCCTGTGACCACACGGATGGGCTCAGCTGGGCCACCCACCTCCGCAGGCCGGCCAGCACCACAAACTGTCCTTGGGGGCTCCAGAAGATGGTGTTTGCCTGCTGCTTGTCAAACATCTCTGGAAAGAAAGCAAGCAAGCACCCGTATGTTAAAGTCTGCATCACGGTGCCCACTGCCCACGCCCGCTATGGTGGATCTGGCACAAGGGGCTTTGGGTCAGGACTCCACCTACAGCCCATGCCTTTGCTGGCTCTCAAAGCAATTGGGGGGGGCACTGTGGCACAGTGGGTTAACGCCCTGGCCTGAAGCGCCAGCATCCCATGTGGGCGCCGGTTCTGGTCCCGGCTGCTCCATTTCTGATCCAGCTCTCTGCTGTGGCCTAGGAAAGCAGTGGAAGATGGCCCAAGTCCTTGGGCCCCTGCACCCGCGTGGGAGACCTGGAAGAAGC